TCATTGCTCTAGAAGGGCGGGCATTTAAATAAACTCCGTCCAGCTGCCCCTACCGGAAATTAAATGGCCCGTCCGATAAAGGTTAACATTATCGTTAATCTTAATCTTAAAACAGTGGCTAAGGATCTTTTTCATATACATTTAACATTTATTTAAACATATCTCAATTTATTTATTTATGTCAAGCGGGAGTACGAATTTTATTTGTAACAGCAGAAGATTCTTTCTTGTGAGGCAGGACTGCCACAACAGAAGTACATCTTACCACACATCACATCAGATGTGACATGGTGTCTGCGGTGCTGCCGGCTTGCAAGTTCATGAATCTGTCAAGTTATCACTATTGATGCAAAAAATTAAAAAGTATGGGATCAGGGTGACATCCAGTGGCATAATATATGTACCAAATTCTATAAGAATTAGTTAATGAGTTGAAACACTGAAAAGACGTAACACAGATGGACAGACAGCACAGTTATCTCATGAAATAATAGCAATGGGGAGTGATGCACTCAGCAGTGAGGGTACATGAATGATGATGATGCAACACTCCTCACAACTGCTTACCTCTTGGCAGTAATTTTGCACGCTCGTCAGATAATCCTGCAGGTCGCGGTTCAGGTGCTCCAAATCAATGATGACATTCGCATAACGTCGTTGGAAATCTTCTGGGATGTGTGCTCCAAAGGACTTTTTTCTCTCTGCCTCTGTATTCATCTCTCTTAGGACCTCGATCCTGGTCTTCTTTGCTTTAAGAATCTTGGATAACCTCACCTGACAAACAGAATATGGTTAACACAAGTTGACAACACAAAAATTCACAGTGCTTGAATAATGTCTTTGATGCCAGATTTTACATCTGTGTTGGCTCACACAAAATTACAGATGTTAGACTGATATACTGTATCATAACTGAATCTTGGACAAATTCAATGTCAAGTAAGGATATATATTTGTTTTTGTATAGCTGTCAAACACAGCAATTAATTAAAATAACTCACTTCCACTCTGTCTTGTCAACTGAGTTTTTATTGGATTAAAATATAATGTCACAACATGTTTCCTCTCTCACGGACCCATCATCAGGCAATACAATCTACAAATCTAAAATTACATCGTACTGAGTTGTGATTGTTCTGTGGATCCATATCTTACAAGTATCCAGTGTTTTATATAAAAAAAAAGTTTTGTGATGTGTGCTATACACATAGTTCGTCAGATTTCCAGTAAACATTTCAGTGTGAAGATTAAGCAATTCTTGCACCAAGAAGTTCTAATATACACATAAAAAGAGGACTGAATTATTCAAGTATACATATTATTGTGTTCAATGCCAAAAAGATTTCAAACCGAACACTTAATACCAATATCTGCTTACAATCTTCTCCTTCTTCATCAGAAGTTTAATATCAGTAAATGACTACAGAAAAATGATGACCTACCTTTATGATTGCCAGAAGGAAAGACAAAAGATACAGATGCTGCTCAAAGTCATTTTACTTTTCATCAAGTCATACTGTCAAACAAGTTTTCAGTTCAGCTTCAAAGAATACTTCCAAAACCCCAAGAATAATATAACATTTCTTTAGCAATTTTATTCTGCAATACTCAACAGAAGTTGAACAAGTATCCATTACCACACAGCACAACATTCGACTTTAGTTCATATTAAGAAATAATCTTCTCTTCTTGTTGCTTCTTTTGACTTCTTTTGTTGGTCTATGAAAATGTATTTTTTATTTTTGTATTTTTACCTTGAAATTGCATTACTTTTTGAAAATGGTGAGAAGAAAATAAGCAGTGAAAGGGTAAAGCAAAAAGAGTTATTGGTAATGGCAAGTTCTTTGTTAGAAATCTTCCATATGACCCCTCCCCTTTTCACAAGTTGTCAAAACATATCAAATTATTATCGACTTTTCTTTTTTGGAGGGGTAATACACTGAAAACATCTCCATATGGTGTGTCAGCTGCATATGAAAATCCAGCCAATGTTATTATTAGATATATATAATGCTGATCTTTAGGAGTACAGCACAGTTTCGCTCGCATTATGGATACTTTAGGTAGGGAAATTTGCCCTTACAGGAATGTAAAACATAACTATAAAATTCACAGTACAGACAGAAATTTGAACATCAAGAAGTATGGGATAAACAAGAAAGTGTTTAAAAACAAAAAGGAAAAACAAACAAACCAAACAAAAACATTATTTCTTACTGAAAACCATCACAACACAACAATCAGTCATATGTATAAGTAGCTCTAGGAGATACTTTTGCTACATGTTTCGGACATGAAACTAGAACGATTAGTAAATTATTTAAGAATACTGAAGTTGGTATCTCATTTATAACCAGGAACAATATCAAGCGCTTATTGAGAATACATGAAAATACAAATGATAAGTTTAATTTAAGTGGAGTTTACCAATTACAGCGTGCAAAATGTCCACAGTAACATATAGGACAAACTGGGCGTACACTCAAAATTAGATTTAAAGAACACATAAAGGAGATAAAGAATGGTGGACAAAATTCCGAATTCACCCAGTACATAGCAGACACTATCCACGAATATTGAACAATAGATCAAACTATGGACATTTTGTACATCGGAAAGAAAGGATGAATGTTAGATACTAATGAAAGATTTCATATATATGAAATCAGCAAGCAAAACATCCAGTTGATCGACAATTTTACCAAAATATTTAACCTAATACTCGACATAATAACTGCAAGCTACCAAATATAAACACTACCTACCTCCATCCTACATCCACCCCCCACCCCAATCACCTACACAGCATTCCATAATGACACACATCCCAAGTCAGTTGTAATCTATCTTTCCATCAGATCAGACCTTTACACAACGGAGTCGCCTGTCAAATAGTATGTAAACTACACAACCATAATAATCCAATCAATACCATATACAATCACTAAGTAATTCAATAATAGTTACCAATGGTATATTATTTCCAGGTATGAAATATTATATAATAACATACAACTTTGCTTTAGAATATGCCATTAGGAAAGTCAAGGAAAACCAGGTGGGACCGAAATTAAACGGGACACATCAGCTGTTGGCCTATGCCGATGATGTGAATCTACTGGGTGATAATGTAGATACCATAAAGAAAAACACACAAACTAATTGACGCAAGTAAAGAGGTTCGTCTAGAAGTAAACACAGAGAAAACTAAGTATATGTTGGTGTCTCGTCACCAAAATGCAGGGCAAAATCATGATATAAAGGTAGGAAACAGATGTTTTGAAAATGTGGCACAGTTCAGATATTTGGGAACAACAATAACAGATCGAAACCTGATTCAGGAGGAAATTAAGAGGAGATTGAACTTGGGTAATGCTTACAACCATTCAGTCCAGAACCTTTTTGTCTTCTCATCTGCTGTCCAAAAACATAAAAATGAGAATATAAAAAACTATAATTTTGCCTGTGGTTCTGTATGGGTGTGAAACTTGGTCTCTGACATTAAGGGAGGAACACAGACTGAGGGTGTTTGAGAACAGGGTGTTGAGGAGAATATTCGGATCGATGAGAGATGATGTGACAGGAACTTCATAACTTGACTCTTCCCCAAGTATAATTAGAATGGTCAAGTCAAGGAGGATGAGGTGGGTAGGGCATGTAGCACGAATGGGGGAGATGANACAACCATTCAGTCCAGAACCTTTTTGTCTTCTCATCTGCTGTCCAAAAACATAAAAATGAGAATATAAAAAACTATAATTTTGCCTGTGGTTCTGTATGGGTGTGAAACTTGGTCTCTGACATTAAGGGAGGAACACAGACTGAGGGTGTTTGAGAACAGGGTGTTGAGGAGAATATTCGGATCGATGAGAGATGATGTGACAGGAACTTCATAACTTGACTCTTCCCCAAGTATAATTAGAATGGTCAAGTCAAGGAGGATGAGGTGGGTAGGGCATGTAGCACGAATGGGGGAGATGAGGAAAGCATATAGGATATAGGTGGGAAAGCCAGAAGGAAGGAGACCACTGGGAAGACCAAGAAATAGGTGGGTGGACAATATTAAAATGGATCTTAGAGAGATAGGATGGGATGGTATGGATTAGATTGATCTGGCTCAGGATAGGGACCAGTGGAGGGCTCTTGTGAACACAGTTATGAACCTTTGGGTTCTATAAAATGTAGGGAAGTTCTTGAGTAGCTGCAGAATTGACGGCTCCTCCAGAAGGGCTCAGCTCCGTGAGTAAGTAACATACAACATAACAACGGGCCTCCGAACACCACATCATATAATACAGATGATTACAGAGAACTCCCATTTATCATTTCTCCTGGAACCAGTAGATTAGAAAATTAAACTGAGGGAAATCTGAAATGGAGGTAAGTTGACACTGAGTTTATTGACTTGGGATCATCGAAACTAAATATTAAATACAGATCCCACTATATTTATCAAGAAATTCAGACCACTTATGTGCAGGGGTTGGTGACATGATATGTGGCTTGCTACTGCCTAGTCTGTGTACCTATATCAGTGACACACAGGGGATGGAAGGCAGTATGGTTGCTGTTCCCATCTTCTCTCTAATGTGCAGTGTATCACCCTTCTTCAGAAGAGGTGCAGAAGAGCACTATCAAGTTCTAGTGCACTACTGCACCTAAATGAGCATGGAAATTAATTACATTTGAAGTATAATTTAATCAGGTTTACATGTATGACAACCGTGGACTCAAAACTTTTCTGTATGAACATCTCTCCACTTAGATACAATTCTCATTACATAACTTCATGATACAGACACTATTAAGAACACATCCCTTCAGAAATAATGGATGCACGCTTCATGTTAATTTGTAATTCAAACCTCGTTCACTAAAAGTTATATTCTGAGAGAGACATATTCTGTTACTCAAGAAATGTACAGTACTTCATTCCTGCTACTTGACTGACCTCAAGCCAATAACACCAAAGGCTGCCTTGGCAGCACTATTGTACATACCACTGTTTCCAGAAACTTGACTGGGAAGCCTCCCACAGTCCCATCCGATGGAAAGCTCTTAGCTTTGATCATGGGGGATCCTGCCAGCAATGGATCGTTGTTCAGTTTCGGAGATGAAGGATCTGAAGAGAACCGTGGGGGGGTCATGTAGGGAACCATGGTGCGTGGCCGGAATTTCTGGGCAAAACTTGACACAGTTATGGTCTCTGGTGGCTCATTAGACTGGAACATTGCAGACAAGATAAATCAGAGCGCTGAAATCATGGAATCATCACTGATTGACATCACATTTAACTAATTTCCAAAACTCTGCATACTTTCATATGAAAGAAAAATTAGATTTCTGAAGCTTATGTAAACATTAACAAAAATACAAAAGCAACCATACAATCTATGTAGAATATGGAAATGATCACCTTGCCCACAGGAAGCCTATGAGATTTTGCTGCAGGTGACACATGTACAGGATTTGCTACCACTATTAACATGCTTACCAGTACTTCATAGTCTGGCACTGAGTGGGTGCCAAGGCCAGTGCGTTCGAATGTTATCCTATACGTGTTGTTGGAAGTGTCAACAGCATCAATGCTGCCATTAAATAGTCCATCCTGTGGTCTCCTGAGGCGGGCTGTCACTTTGGTGCCAATCACAAGCTGCAGGGGTATCTCCCCAGGAAGATCCTTGCAGTTAGTCACATCAGCAGTCTTACGCTGTTGCAATAGGCGGATCTTCGCCCTTTTACGCTCCAGCTCACGCCGCTCCTCCTCAAAGAATGCCTGCATCATGTGAGTGATGAAGCTCATTTAAGACAACTGTCATTCAATACATGCATAATGAGCCCATAAGGTTCTGTTTTGCTTTCAGAACACTGAGAGACGAACATTCACCTCAACTCCTCTAAAGCAAAGTGAGTATGAAAATGTGTGTGCAAAGTGTGCAAGTCACAAAGTAGGGAATCCTAAAGTGTGCATCTGAAAACTACCAGAGACTGCACAGAGGAAACTTCAACAGACACTGAAATATGACCTGTAATAGTTTACATACCAACTCATCATTTGGATACAGCAAGAGGAACTCACCTGGCAATGTCTGGATAGATTGGACATGAGGTATACAGATGGGAAATGAGGAAATGCTAGGAACTGCTCAGACAGCATCCATTAAAACAACGGGAACACAATATTAAAATCAGTCTTAGGGAAAGAGGATGTGAAATGAACTTGCTCAGGTCCTCTTACCATACAGTTAACCGGTTAACATAATTATATTCCAACAGGCACAAGCCCCTTCTGACAGACCGTCCAGCTCCACACAGCAGTAACACAGGACACCTCAAATACAAACACATGTACAACTGCAGGTCCTGTGTCACTCTCTCATACTTGCCAGTTAGTACACATGAGTAGAGAGACAAATCATGCATTCCACCTTCTGCACTCTGTTCCTTTCTAACATGACTGATCAGCTTCATGCACCCCCCGATATTATTCAAGCATGGACATCAGCGATATCAAGAAGTGTAGTTTCTAAGTGATTTAACCATGCTGTCAGTGGCAAGCTCTGCAGCATTGACAAAATGGATGATTAAGGAATAAGTGAAAAGAATGTAGAAGGAAGTGACTGTGACCTGGTTTAAGGTACTCTCACCATATTTATCTGCAGTAACTGAGGAAAACCACATAAAACCTCAATCACGTTAGTCAGTGCCCCACCAAGATTTAAACTGGGTACCACCACCCCCACCCCTCAAATGCAAGTGAGAAGCATTGGAATTTGAGCCAGCTTAGTCCCTATGGTATGATACCATGCAGTACTGTAGGTCTGTGGAGTATATCCTGAAGAAAGCAGCAGTTTCCTCCAAACTGTTGGTAGCCATCTATGATAGTATATGGTGCCACAACCCTGCAGACCAGAATCCTAATATTTGCTGCTGCAAATGATGCAAATACTGATCAATTTTTATGAAAAAGATTAAAAACATTACTGTAAGACACTTCACCATCTTGGTAATTTTTAACTCTCTGTCACCATACAAACTTACGGGAAGGGAGAAACACTGCACACTCATTGGAAACTATGAAAATGTTGTTTTGTGATGCAGCTTGGAAAAGTACACAACTATTCTATAAAACGACAATACATGACATGCATTCATTTTATCACAAGTATGAACAATATTTAACCAGTAACTGCGCTAATGGCAAAACAATCCATGCATAAACTGGGGAGATTTTGACTGCTCAATAACAACACAGGACACTCCTATGCACTCAATCGCTCCATGCGTCTGCATATGAATCCACATTCAGAATGTGTATTTCATTAATAATTTTCATCAGGCAGGGCAGTCAAGCAGTTAATACTCCTTGAGGTACAAATCTCAGCACAGAGACAAGTTCTACTGCCTGAGGTTTTCATGGTTTTCCTCAACACTCCAAACAAATACTGGCATAGCACTTGCTCCCATATCCTGTCTGATTCATTAATCATCATATACTCCACACTAACCAAATATACTGACAGCATTACTAAATACACCCCAACACATTTCCGCATTCCAGTATTGGATGTCTGTGCATGTTTCTGAAAAATTCACAAACACTCTGGCATGAAGGACGCAATTTGTGAACTGCAGACTGGATGGTGCAGAAGAATTTTTGGATATTGTGATCTGAGCAAATTATAACACATGAGGAAGACCACCATACAATAATTATTGTATGGTGGTCTTCCTCATGTGTTATAATTTGCTCAGATCACAATCAGAGAGACCTATTATAATAGGTCTCTCTCACTATGGGCAATGATAAGGCATTATTTACAGACACATTCTGGCAACATAGAAGAGAAATCTTGGGCACATAACTTCTGGTCCAGCCCATATATAAGTCCAGAAAATGAGGAATGTCATCAATGCCTCATAGCTGACAGGCCTGAGAAGTGCCACTGGAAAGTTAAGATTACAAAGTAAACAAGGAACTCACATATAAATGTAGATCCTTAGAACATGTCCAGCTTTCAACTTTTCTCAAATGTGAAAAGGTATTATTTTAACCTGTTCATCAATGGATCACGTGATGGAGTAATACAAATGAATATTCATACTGTGTTGCCACTAATGTTCAGCTTCAACCATATTTTCCACGATCTTTATGCATCATTCAAAATTTTATGAAGCATTATTTTCACCTCCATGTTCATCAAGAAATTCCATGATGGAGTACAAAGGTACAAGTATCTACATCAAGTCACTACATCACATTCAAAACTTCAGTCTAACATGTAAAATTATACCCCATAAATGGTATTTGCACATTTTATGTACCACATCTTCTATACACAATTCTTTGAGGTAATAAGTGCATAAATTATACAAGTAAGCATTAATCCATGAACTGTCAATATGTGAACACTTCTGAAACTAGAAATAACAAACACTCTGGAAATAGGGACTCATGTTCAATGAATGGCCTGTCGTTAAAAGAAACCACATTCTCTGATCTAACAGCCAGAAAAATAAAGAAAAGGACATAAAATGGTGGTAACTAACAGAAACTAAGGACTACAGCTTCACAAGCACTCACATCAAAGTTACATGAATACAAAATTTTCAAGGTATCACAGATGTGAGATGTCTTATCTCATAATGATACTCTATGGACACTTGACTCAATGCTGTAATTTCCAAGTTTCTATGTGCCTATAAATTGTACAATCAGTTTTATTTGCAAACACAACAGCAACCCCCCCTCCCCCCCCCAAATTTTTTTATGAAATATAAATGTAGGAAGAAAGGAAGTCTGGTTTCAAATTGACCATGAAGACAAAAGCAGCAGGTTCTTCCAAAGTGTTGGTTATGATCAACTAGGCTAAACACTGTCACATCCAAGAAGACAGCTGTCTCCAGCCACTGCTCAGAGAACCTGAATTCTGACACAAACATAGCATCACATTGCAGCGCTCCAGCATTATAGAGCAGCAGAAGAGAAAAGGCACCTTGTAAGTAACAGAAAATCAAAGGCACTAATACAGTATGACTGTAACTTTCAGAATTGTACTGCATAAAATATTCAAAGTGTTTCACTGCAGCAAACACTGCATCTGCCATCTTGAGGGAACCCTGAAGATGTCACCTGCAATATCTGCTGAAACACTGGATTACCTTTGAAGTTCTATGTAGTGTGTTCCTGGAAACCAAAGAAATATTACACTCCAGTCATGGAAACCCAAGCACAAAAAAAAAAAGAGGAGGAGGAGAAGGAGAAGAAGAAGAAGATGAATAAGAAGAAGACAAATAGGTCAGAGTTCCCATGAGGCAACTCACTTAAATGTTTACAGTTACAGCTATACCTGAGAACAGCGCCGTGGTTTGCCCATCATGCGCCTGATCTTGCACCACTCCACACGCGTCAACTTACGAGTTCGCAAATGTGGGAAGGACTCCTTCAGGCAGATCATGAAGTCATTGTCCCCGTCAAACAGCGGTCTGCAACATCATCTTCACTTTGACATACCACAAATCTAGAAACTTTACTATCTATGTCTTGGAGAATGTTACAAGGGAGCAGTCATAGACACAAGAAACATAATTCCATTCCTTGTCTCCTCCATCACAGCATGAAAGAATCAAGGATGGACAGACATACTGCAAGATTGCCCTTTGCAAAAATATACTCTGCTACTTTTTTGAATTGTTTTGAATACTCTGCTACAGTCACAATATTTGTTTATTTATTTACAGCAGAAGTGGATATTCTTTGCCCACAGTATGGCTGCTTTCCTTATTGATATAACAATATACTGTAGGTAAAACTTTAAAGAAGGAATATCATTCAGAATTAAGAAATTTAAGTTTTGTCAATTCATTTTCAAAAAGACTGGGAATAAGGTACATCCAAAAACTCCACCACAATGCTTGAACATTGGTTTAACAGCTGTGGCTACTGTACGTACTGGGAAGATTAGGGAACAAATGTCATAATGTCTTTGGATGTTCTCTATAAAGTCTGCAATAAGAACAGCTGCAATTTTGTATATATTAGATTGCAGGTGCTAGGAACTGTGTGACTTACACAGATCACCTGATATGGTTCTAGTAGTGAAACATAGGAGAATGTAATGGGTACATATAGGTTGCAGTGGAGGCAAAAAAGATTAACTGTCAGTAAATAAACAAACCATGCAGAAGTTTCATACAGAGAGATCCAATCTCAAGAAATTACACATTGCCGAAGTCACGGAATAGCATCAGGTTAAAATCTCAGACAGATTTACATCTTTGTAAAACTTAGATAATAGTGTGGATAACAACAGGATTTGGAAAACTGTCAGACAGAATATCAAAACTTCAGCCAAACAGACTCTTGGTTATTATGAACAGAAGTGGTACAAAACAAGGTTTGACAAAGAATGCTCAAAACAACTACAAGAAGCAAACTAAACTGCAATGGTTACAGGATCCAAACTATAAGCACTGACATGGCCTTTTTGTCCCTTTTAGCAGAGTAATTCTTAGCACAATAGGCAGTATCTCATGAGTAGTTTACTGATAAATGGGTCATCAGAGGTTTTCTGGGAGAGGAGACAGAAGTAGATGGAAAACTACATGGAACAATATCTCCAATTTTTGTTACTTCAATTGGACTCATCCATTCACTTACTTGTCAATGTTGCTGTAAAACCATTCATAGCAGACCCACTTGTGGGCTTTTGGAAGTTTCAGCAGGTTGCGCAACCTCATGCCAATTTTCTGCCCCACACGCCTGTCAGGGGATGTGTGAATCACTGAACTACTGGCACTTCCCTCATGTGCATCTGTGTGCTGAAACTCACTGGGCGGAACTGGTGGCTGATGTTTCTTTATCTGCAGTGCTTGCACTTTGCTACCTGATGCAGCCAAGGAAGCAGCTTTCCTAGCTGGAGAGCCCTTTGGACCACGCTTTGGTGATGAGCGTGGCAACAATGTATTGATAACATCATCATCAAAAAAGAGGCGATTCTTCTTACGGATACGAGCAGGCTGAAAATAATATGCTATGTCACACAAGAGGAATACAACATACAATTTGACACATATTTCTGAAGACAAATCTCAGCATTATTTCTACAGCACACAGAAAAATGCGGTAGTAACAGCAAGGTGAGAAATTAACTTCTGGCTTATAATGATGAAGTTCATGTATTGGGCAGAACATAAAAACCATAAAAACACACAGACCCTTGTATATACTAAAATTATAACATAAAACCAACTAGCAAATCTTTTTAAATGTGGAAAATCTCAAATATTAGGGAATCACAGTAAGAATTCAATATTCATGAAATAATTAGGAGCAGCTTGCAACTATTCAGCTGAGACTGTTTCCTTTACAGGCTGAGTCCAGAGAGCAGAGACCTTGTTGAGAAGCCAACAGCTGCCCAACTACTCAAAAATTCCCCACCATCTACGAAATCTGGAGGTTCATTAGTCACGTTCACAAGAGCCCATCTACTAACAAAAAACATAAAGATCAAGATAAACAAAACCATAATTTTACCTGATGCTTTATGGGGTGAAACTTGGTCTCTCGGGTAAAGGGATGAACACAGACTGAGGATGTTTCAAAATAGATGTCTGAGGAGTACATCTATCCCTAAGAGAAAGGATAATGAAAACTATATAATGATGAACTTTATAATTTGTACTAATCGTCAAATATCATCAGGATCATAAAATCAAGAAGAATGAAAAATACAGAATTTCAGTCAGAAAATTTGAAGGGGAGAGACCACCACTTTGGAGACCGAGACATAGATATTAAAATTCATCTTAAAGAAGTTGGATTTGAAGGTTAGACTGGATTCATCTTGCACAGGATGAAAAATGGCAGGCTCTTGTGAACATAGTAACCAGTCACTAGAATATTCTTGACCAGCTTCGTGTCTATTAGCTTGTCAAGGACACTACTCCATGGAGGACTTTACAATATGTACAGACAGGGCATAGCATCAGTAAATGCATGATTGTCAGTAGCCACTTAAGGTGGCATATGTCATGCAACCATTCCACAAGATCCGTCATGTAGCTGATCACAGGCTGGTCTTTGTATGGTGCCGCTCCCAAGAGCATGCCGGAGGGCAGACATAGCTCCTTCCTGAACGTCATGTTGATGGGGCATCATGCCTGTGGTCTCATAGGTGGATGCTCTTTAGGCCAGCAGGAAGAGGGGTAGCCTCTCATCCAAATGGCATTTCTCAGGTGCTCCTCTACACTTTTAACATAGCATTCCACCATGCTCTCCAACTGTGGATGCAGTGGAGTGGTCACATCTTGCACATTCCAAGGCCCTGTAACATTTCCTGCAGGAGTCACGACTCAAAGCCCTGGCCTTGGTCACTATTCAGTTCCCTTGGGACTCTAAATCAACAGAATAATGTTATTGGTCTGTAATTGTGACAAACTAATTTATCAACTTCTTATGTATCAGTGGTATGATTTCTTCACCCCACTGTGAAGGTATCTCTTCATCCTGCCATACCTTCAGTATCAGCTTCTGTATCCTTTGTTTCAGTGTTTGTCCACCAAATTTAATTAACTCTGGGGTAATGTTGTCTGGTCCAGCAGCTTTATTCATTCTGAGTCTGTTGATTATTGTACATACCTCACTGTATGTTGGAGGTTCATTACACAAGTCATTATCGCCTGCTGAGTCATTCATAGTATCAGGGATTTGGTCTGTTTCTGCCAAAGTGAACATTTCAATGAAATATTCCTTCCATCTTTCTAATACCTGCAGTACTCATATAATTAGAAAAGAAAAATATTGGGAAGGGGGATTCAAATGGCATTCAAAAACTCCACCATAATACTTGCACACTGCTGTAACATCCATGATTACTGTATATACCAGCAAGAAAAAGTAGTAAATTTCATATCTGTCGGTCTTCTCTGTTAAGTCTGTGGCAATAAGTAGGAAGCAAAACACTTACATTCTGATATAAAGGTTGTCCCTGTGCTTAACTACTTAAGCACCTATGCCATAAAGGTGTATGGGGAGTGGCTGTATAGATCCACTAATTCTTGACCTTGATACTAGTTGGAAGTGAGTTGTCAGCTTAATGCCCTGGCCACTTCACCCCAGGGAAAGAGTCCCTGGTACCCATTGGATAGGAGGCTAGGTGGGCCTCAGAATTGGTCTGGATAACATGAAGAAGACAAAATTCTTGCCCCTACTGGGACTTAAACTCTGACCCTTTGGTCATCCACCCTGTATACAGTTGCAATACTACCAAATGCACTATCCCAGCTACACACACCCTGCACATTAGACAAGGTGACACAAAGAGACTGGTTTCAGTTCATATGGTTTCTGCCACTGTTACCTGGATGTGGTGACCATTTAAGGTATTGATATTCTCACCATTCCCCGCCTGTTCAGCACAAGACCAGGCTGCTGGGGTGCTGGTCTGGGGGGCATCTCCTCCCCAATTCGCTTCAGACCCAGAGCAGCTGGCCCAAGGATAGGTGTTTCCTCCTGGTCCTGGTCCATTCCATTGCCCGTAGTCTCTTGCTTCATGTTACCATACTTCACACCTCCATTCTTGAAAGTCAGCAGTGCTGCTGCTGATTCATCTGCCACATATTATTAACATCAAGCATGACACCATGACAACTACAGGATGTATTGTAAAAGAAATGTTAAGTTGGAAAGCAGTAATCAAAGAATAGGAACTAATACTTTGGTAAGAGAACATGAAGCTTCAACACCACTAATGCCAAAACACATGAACTGAACACAGTTCTGAACCACTTCCATCCATCTCCGTAGCATACCTGCAAGGTGCCTAAATCTCTTGCCCCACTCAGGCCACAGAAAGAAGTCCCATGGATTGACATCCTCCACATCTCCCTTGAGCTGTCACACTTCGCTTGTCAATGTACTTGCTTATATTCCCCAATGGTAAGTGATAACCTTTGACAATAACAAATACTTTAAGGTGATTCAGAGATTCCAGTGGGGACTAAAAGAGTGGGAAGTCTCAATCATTGTCATCCATGACCACCCAAAGAACTTCTTTCTATGGCCACTGTACTGTGGCTACAAATGACACTGAAATACGAACTGTCACTGCTTCAGGGATATTGTTAACATTGCTCAAAGAATGTTTATAAGCTGTGAAATCTTAACATGTCTTCCTGTACTAGATGCTCCTTCCTTCTCCATTTTATTAACTTCATTAATATAATCAACATACTCCATGCCACACATATTATCCCTACAAAGTTCCACTTCCTAGTGATTTGATTTGACCTTCCTAATGGCAAGTTCGAAAGAAAAATTTATGAACAATGACGATAAGGCGCCTCATAGTTTCAGATCATTCTGAATAAGAACTGCATCTGATTCATATTTACATACATAGTTTTGTTCAAGGGCATTTCAATTAGCCTACATTGTTTCAAATTTTAATTAAAATTATGTACAACACCTCTCTCTCAACTCAGAAACTCCTCTGGTGTCTAAAGTCTAATGAACTGTCACACTGTACTCGCATCTGGCTCCAGTACCTGGCAAATACTGATTATCAGATGAGTAATTTGTCTGTCATGCCAAAATTCACACTGATGATCCATTCTAATTTTGTCCAATGACATCAGAACCACTGCATTATTGTTGATGGTTGTATTATTATTATTACTATAACACCAGGTAGTACCCACTTCAAGGACACAGCTTATATAAAAATATAGAATGTCACTTTGCGATTAGCAAAGTTCATATCCCCATACCATAGCAACAAAATATCCAAACATAACTTCAATGTATAGGTGACATTCAATTTCGAATTTTAAAAGTTTAAGCGATATTCTTCTGTACGCGAAGTTGATCTTGGCAAAATTTCAAAAATAAGAAATGTTCACAATAAAAAAATGCATACAGGCTAAATGTTATAAAATATGTCTTTGTAATAACACGTAGGCTAAGTTAGCAACACATAAAAATATACAGTACGGATTTCAAACATATCACTGCCTCAAGGAAGAATACTAACTTTCAAGTTCATCCGCCATGTTGACGTAGTTCGGTAACATATGTAATGAAGATAGCCAACGTTACCAAGTAAATATTTTCGGTAATTCAATATAAATGTTCAATTAAATGCCACAGTATTATATTGATAAATGTTTATAGATATATAATGACAGCTTTCTCGTCTACTCTTAAGGCGCTTTTCTGTAAGTTGCATTAGTTGTAGTACTCATATGTATTTGTGCATTAAAAACATTGGAATTCTTAATGACGGTATCACTGCTCACTGTGCTTTAAAGTGCATTGTGGGATATACGGGCCAATTCACGGGAAAGTAGAATGGGGCCGTTAGTCAATGTTCATAATGTGTTGAAATTTGTATGATAACAAATCTCGGAAATTGCGGTTGTGTTGCGGTTGCCAGTTTCCTTGGTGTGCCCTCGCCCTAGAGTACGCAAGCTATACCTGGGGTTTGAGTGCATGTTTATTTTATTGTTTTACTATATTGTAACAACTGTCAGGGGGATGTAAGTTATTAAGACGTAAGATCTGGTAGAATATTATGAATGGGAGAATGTGTCAGGGAATTTAATACCCGGGCAGAAGTGAACCATATATGTTAAATATGTTTTGGCTTGCTTTAAGACTGGCGTGGCCTGCTCTCATACGGTTTATTGACACGAAGGCACGGTGGTTCATTTTTATCTCTCGGAACCATGGAGACGAGCCATTCCTATAGTACCTTTCTCTTCTGTCTCGTTTGGTGTTTTAATAAAATCTGTGAAATTCGTTTTTGCATTTCTTTTTCCACTGCGTTTTGAGATCTCCATCTGGTAATAGCAATTGACTATCTCTGCCTTCTTTGATTGCTTTGCCTCCAAGTTGACCCTCTCATTAACTTCAACTCCGCAATGTCCCGGGATCTAGTAAAATTCGATTTTTTTTTCTCGCGATTCCAGTCTCTCTATTTTATCTTTAAGCATATGCGTAATGTGTGATGTGTTCGTCGTTGTAAAGGCGTTGCTAATGCCTTTTAACATACCTGCTGAGTCTGAGAAAGAACTGCAGTGATGCCACAAAAGCATTAATGCTGTCATCTGTGTTCAGATGCAAGTTGATAAGAAGGTGAGCCTGTCTGGAGAGTAAGCAGCCAACCTCACTCGAGCATTAATTATTTTTTTTTTTAATTCGCATAGTGGGGGGTGGAGTCCAACTGGGTCCACTCAGCACGACAGACTGATTGGCCTATTATAGTCTGCCCCGGGTGATTATGATGGAGAATTTGTTGTAATAAAAATTGGCAGGGGAAACTGAAGTACTAAGAGAAAACCTGTCGCAGCGCCACTTTGTCCACCACAAATCCCACTTGACCAGACCCGGCATTGAACCCAGGCCACCGCGGTGGGAAGCCAGTGACTAACTGCTTGAGCTATGGCACGGCCCTGAGGTGGAGCATTAGGAGAGGTCCCTAAGGCCAAGGGCATACAGAGGAAACTGGCAACTGCAACGCAACAGCAATTTCCAATAATTGTTATCAGCCTGAATTGAACACATGTTACTCAGTGGGGCAGCACAAATTGAAGAAACGGCAACACAAGTTTCCTCAATTTTTGCTGCTCCATTCACTAAATCGTGTTGAACTCACATTGATAAGAATTCTCTGAAAATGTGGTTGCGTTGTGGTTGTCAGTTTCCATTGTGTGCCCTCGTCCTAAGAAAGAGGCTGCAGTGGAAAATTTTTAGGAGCATCGCGGTATGGGGACTGGCATGTAGCCGTAATGTTCTGTGGTCAGCCGAAGAAAGGCACCTAGGGCCATGGTGGATCCCAGAAGAATTTGGCCACTACCCAAGGCCAGTTTACCTGCCGTTTCATTCCTGCATGGCATAAGAGACACTGTCATCTGGGAAGCAAGGGGAATGTAAACATGGCATTCAGGGAGACCCTAGGGCTGGAGATCACAAAGAGAATAGCCGGATCTTCCATCACAATTAAAAAAATGAGTGTATATTATGGAGAGGTCGGCCCCCTCTGAAACAAAAGAGACCATTAACAACAGATCAACAGATTAAGGACAGTGGCTGTAGAAGCACTGACCTTCTTTCAGAACTGTTGCACTCACTGATCAGTAAAGGAGGAGGAGGATGATAAACCTGGACTGATTGGCACCCTATGTGGGAGCTGCCCAGGTCAAGCAGTCTTAAGCAGAGAGCAGTTGGCCAGTTAATTCCATGGATACTGAGCAATGGGGACAAAGGTGAGATCAATCACAGACTCCACAAACACAACCTGTAAGATACCATAATCTACCATACATGACAAGGAACACAGAAACTAACATCATAATGACGGGGTCAAATATATATATAAATTCTAAACAAAATTACAAGTATCATAAAGATTTTAATAATTAACACTAATATGGATCCATATTGGGACAATTCAATAATGAGTGACATATTTAAGAATACTGCCTGATGATGATCCAAATATGGATTGAAACGTGTAGCAGGAACTAAATAAAACCAGTGTAACACAGTGATATTACATTGGTTTAATTTTTGATAAATTTGTTGTGTTGATGGCCTAAAAAACCACATATAAGAATTCAGTCCATACCTTAGTGGAAACACATTAAATCTCTGCTATAAAGACCAACCAGTTACTGCCCTTTAGGGAAACAGTCGCTGTTAACTGTGGGAACCATATGGAACACACGAATACATTCTGTGGGCAGAATGCAGAGTCTTATTATGTTAAAATGGTTGGTTGGCTTTCGAAAGGTTAAAACACAGCTCGTAGTGCAGAGGATTAAAACTGCCATAGGAAATGTGATGATATTCTGGCAAGTGCCATGTTTCAGAATTCCTGTACTACATAGCATCTTTTCACTGAGCTTCATTTGCTGTTGTGCTGGTCCAAGTGTGGCATGGAGTCAGGGGCATTGCTTTTTGGGGTACATCATCATCCCTCAGAATGATCTCATGTTTGCTGTACTATGTACATTGTTTTGAATCTTTTTTATTTTGTCACTTATCAGACTGGTAACACCACCTTCACATTACATACCCATGTGGCCACAGCTTGTATGACAAAATATCATAATCTGTGCATTTACAAGATGCATAAGAACATAAAAACTTTCCAAGCTCTCTGGGGTAGCATCTGATATCTTTGCTGCAGCAGATAACAACCCGCTGAGCATAACTGCAACCACACATGCACACTCACACTCTCACACACACATCTTTGGTATGGAACTTAGCAAGGAACAAAAACAGAGTCAGAGCATGACAGTGTGATGCAGACACACAACACACACAGATCTGCAGTAATTGTGTTTATATGTGGAGATGACCTACATACGTCACACATTAATTATGCATAAAAATATATGGAATTCTGGCTTTTGAGGTTCAGCCACATCATATGTTGTCGCTGTTCCAGCATTTCAGTGTGTACTGCACTTGCCATCTTCATGATGAAACGGCTTCAACATACAAGACTAAACCCTGAAAGCTGAATTACATGTTGCATGCTGCAAGAAATCAAATGACAAGTGTGTATGAAGTTATCTTCACACTCGGTCACCTGTTCATATGCTGAACTGAACTGGCATGGCAACTGCAAGAGTTCAGCCTGGGTAACTGCTTATAATTTGCTAGCTAACGAGAACTGTGACCATGAAACTCAAATTCATATTTAAACCTGGCAACATGTAACTGCATAATGTCCTTTTATAGTGTATTTTCTGATGAATTCGACTATTTTTAAGAAATTCCCTGAATGTACATCTTAAATCAGCTACAGGAAACAAATTACATGAAATCTTGCAGCATTTGTCAAATGAGATACAGGATTGTGTGTCTGCCTCATGCTCTTCACTGTTCTTACTGCTAAGAGATCAACAGGAGTCATGCTCCAGTAAATGTATACAAACATGCACAACAGACCTTCTTCACAGCTGAAAACACAAACCCTGCAAAGCAGGTGTGTAGGCCTGTCTGTAAAAGTGCAGAAATATCATCTTGGGCTTTGCAAATGTTCGTCATATAGCACAGATAACCGCAGAGGCTGTCACAAGCACCACCTGCATGAACACGCCACACAAAGGCCCCACGTCAAGTAATGAGTAATGAGTATTATATAGGACTTGAGGTTCTCACACTGGTAGTTATGAAGATTTCTATCTTCTGAGATATAATGCTGTTATCCAGTAAAAGTCGATCCATGTTTCATAGGGACATGTCGTCTCCATCTTCAGAACTGAAGAATAAACTAAGCAAGTCTGCTCTGCTTACTACCTAATGCATGTTCCTCTGAAATGTCGGTTAACTTTCAACAGACTACACAGTGTTACATAACATAAGACAGCAATGAGTATTATGTCCATGGCATAGAAAGACAGCAGCTGACAGGATGAGCCTAGTGGGTTCCTCCAATTCCTTGAGTGAGTGAATTTTCCAGCACAATGTCAAACTCATCCAGTGACTCAAGAATCTGTCGCAGGAAAGTCAGCAGTGTTGGGCTGCGGAGGAAAGACTGCTCCTCGTACATCTCAAGTGTCACACAGCATAAAGACAGGGGTGTCAACATTCGTGACAGCAGGTGTTCTCTAGCGACAAGAATCAAGCAACAGTAAATTATCATTGGCCCAATAGCACCCTCTCAGACACTTCACTAAAAGTAAAGTAAAGGTATTCCTGTAACAGGCTATGAAGGCCCATAGGGTTGAGACGGTGAGGGTTCCACATTATCTAGACCATCGGCTCAAAGATGGCGGTAAGGTTGTCAGCCTTACGCGCCGGCCGCACTTTACTCCCCAAGAAAATTATTTATTTAATTCCTGGTACAACAAAGAAATATCCAGATCTATTCTCACATAAATTTTATAATCTCTCAAAATTACTGAATAGATTTTTACTGCTGCGAATTGATAATTCTAGCATATACAATACTAAGAACATTATATTTGTTTACAGACAGTCTGCTATTTTATATTGCTCATGAGTACAAAATTTCCATACATATCAAACAATCCATGTTTGTGCTCTGTCACAAAAGCAGTAGGGAAAGGGGTGGCAGTAATACCCACCTGGCACATAGGCATACAAACAACTGGAACTTCCCATCTTTGCCAAGAGTGTGACTTGTGCTTCCAATCTGGTTGACCAGATTGCAGTAGCAATGCAGTATTTGCTTCTCTGAAGGATGTGGGGTCATGTCTCCATCTGAATCCAGGAGGGTGGCTTCAAACTGTTCCTTGGCACGCACTGCAAAAGGAAAGTTTCCAGAAACACAGCCATGCCATGCTGGGACAACAACACAACTGTCTCCTGTAAGCTGAAAATTTCATCTCTGCACTTTGAAATCATGCCACTCTCTGTTTTTCCTTCAGAGTGAAGGCCGGATTTTACACTCATACAATCAAAATTTGTAGAATTATCATTTTATGTCTTAGTTTTATGGAAGAGAACATGAAAGATTTACAGCTGAACAACAGACGTCATTTCCCATATTTACTCTTTTAATTTCAGTTTTAACATGGGCTTGTCACTGATTCTTTAAAGGTTCGCTGGACTTGGCCCAATGTCTGAAGAATATATCTAATACATGGGGATTTGCTATACTCCTGTCTTCAGGTGACTGGTTGTCATTAAACTGTCAGATTTGTTTTCACTTTCTCATAAATGTTGTTTATATGAGAAGGTACTGTGACGGAAAAGAAACAAATCCTGAGATTCTGACAAATTTACATGTTCTGAGCCTGGTTTCTGGTATGCTATCTGCCCATGTGTGTTTGTGTATGTAAGACTATGTAGCCTCTGAACAGTTGGACATACATTGATTAAATTCTAGTAATTTATAGAGATTATACCCGTATATAAAAGTGCATTGGTCCAATCTTCAGGAAATGGTGCGTGCATTAGAGGCCTAAACGCAAAATGTTGATTTTCTCAAAACCTGTTCTACCAGTCATGTAGATTTCACTGTTGTTCAGTATTCAGCAATGAACAATTGTCTCCTGAGCAACAACTGATTTCCTTTCCATAGAAATGTGGACAAGATAAATCATATATACGAACATATGCCCAGTGTCTTTGAACTGATTTTCATTTCAAAAATTGTGGTGACAGGAAGGACTGGACCCAGGACGTTTCCAATACTATGCTAGTATGCCAACTGTTTCAGGAACTCTACTTATGCCACACATACTGAAGTGTTACTGGTTAATTCTTCTGTGTGGGTATTGAAATGCTTCACTTGCAAGTGGCCTGCAGTACCCATTTAATTTTTGCTCTAAAATAGTTCATCCTTCATAAATTCGGAACTGTGTGAGATGTGTGAAATCCCCAGAACAGGTGCATTTAGAAGCTTACCTTATAACGTAAGCATGCTGTATACAGCAGTGGATGCAACTGGATTAGAAGTTATGGTTTGTATGGTAAGACTTCAAACATCCACATGAAAATACAACCCTACTTCAAATTCACTGCACCAATACATGGATTCTCTCCTTTTGCCATGTTTAGCGCTGGCCACATTTTCTCTGAAGTTTCCTTTTTTTCTGGTGGCACTAATGCACTCCAGGATATGCCATTCTGTGAGTCTTGTAGGCGGTGGGTCAAAAGGTGGACGGCTGTGTACAGGACGAGGAACATGAGAAATGTGTTTTTTCACACGGCCTTGTGCTAGTGAAAGCCTGAATTTTAGCTTCTGCTGTTTGGGAGTGACCAGTATATGATCATTGTATTGTGTACTGCTTGAATTGTCTCTTGAATAATTTCAGATACCACTAGGTACCTTTCTTTTGTTCCGGCAAGTATGAGATGTAGCAATTGATCCTTCACATCGATCCCAAACTTGGTGACAATGCAATCGCAAATAACCACAGGCTTTGTTTTTTCATGGTTCTGTTTATTTATGGCCACACACATTTTGTCTTTGCAGTATGTAATAACACAGACACACACTTCTTGTCTTGCCATGCAAGAACTGCCACATCTCCTGAATGCTCGCTATAATGCGCTCCTTTCTTCAGTTTCTTATTTTTCACTATAGGAGAAGCACTTTTTATGTTAGCATGTGAAGTTCCACCACAGCCTATTGTCTTGGACTTCATGAATTGAGCCAACTCTGGTAAATTATAAAAACTGTCCATCCTAACAGTGTGTTCATGACCAAGGAGATGTTCTAATAGTTTTACTACAATTACCGCAGTTACTGTTTGTTTCTGCAGCCAAAGACTGATATGGCAGCGCCATGCCTCATGCCTCATCCAGTGTAAATGAGAAGACCAAACATAACTGGAGCTAGACTCATATAGTTCATATGTTCCATGTTCTATGTCTTATGTTTATGTTTCTTTCTCCTTGTTCATCACTACTGTTATCATTCTCACTGTCACTGGTCACACGGGTTCCTGAAATCACCAGTTGTATATAGTCACTGCCAAAAGTACCATCATCATCCAAACTAAATTCACCAATATTTTCATCGTGTAAACCTCCATCAAAAACTTGTTCTTGTTCAAGCTCCATGAGCCCATGAATTGCTGATGGACCAGCCATGGTCACTGTGAGTCACATGTTTATATTTAAGCTGCATGCTCAGCTGCAGGAAATACAAGGTTACTGACACATGAACAGAGAATTCATTCATTTCACAACAGGCCAATGGAAACCTCATCCTATATGAATTACCTGTTCCTTATTTACAGACTAGAGGATGTGGGGTTACAGCTAACATACCGTATATATTAAACAGAAGACAGAGCAATGAAATGCCTGACATAATACCCATGTTGAGCTCTGCTGACGAGTTAAGCAAACTTGCTGGTCATTCACCACTGTTCTGTGACAACTGTGTTACAGCACACAACGATATTTGGAAGCTTTAGAAAAATTATTTTCTGAAGGAAACTTCTGCTGAACTTCTAAGAATTTGTTTAGTTCCTTATGGTAGTTCTATGTTTGCCCAACAGTTCACAGAGCTACCACTGTATGCAACTAATTCAACTCCAACCCCTCCTGCACCTATCAGTAATTTGACAGGGCAGACTCCTTTTTTTTCGTTAAATCCAAACAACAGCTGGTTACTGCATTCATGAGAGTCAGCCACTGGATTCCATCCTGAGCCCACAGGTTTCATTCCACACACTTGCACCCACTTCATTAAACACAGATCTCACAAATGCCCCACCCATTTCGTTGTCCTTCCTTGAATCATCCTAAAATGTATGGTGAAGGTACAAATTACAAGGATCATCATGAAAGCAAAGACCATTTGTGCATAGCACTTGCACAGGTCAACATATTGCACCATTTTAAGGTACTGGACCTCAGTAGTCTTCTAATAACAAGTCAAATGAATGACATGCTGATTCTATCATTTTGCAATTTTTTGTAGTATTTAAAAATAAATAATAAAATCAAGAATTCTGCCGACAGTGAAATGTGAGCTGTAATTTGGTTTTTGAATGATGACTTTGCCTGGACATTTTTTCCCATCCTCCCTACAACTACCTGGACTTGGCTCCAAGTGATTTTCACTTGTTCACACACTTGAAGCAGTTCTGGGCAGAAGCCGTACGGGTAGCGATGAAGAAGTGAAGAAAACGGTCAAAGACTTGGTTCAATGGACTGGCGGCAGATTTCTACAATGCAGGATACAGAATCTCATCACATGATATGACAAGTGTCTGAATCTCAGTGGGATTTTCTAGAACAATGATTTAAGGTCTGTAGCAATGATGTAAACTAATTTTTCTTTTTAATTTCATTAATTTATTGTTTTTCAATCATCAAACTGCTTTACTTTCTGGACAACCTACATATGAAGCTCCTCATTATGCAGTTATCTCCAGCCACCTGTCACTTCCTTCCTTTTGGGTTTTAATAATCACCTCAGTATCCTGTTCTCAAACTCTCAGTTTATATACTTCCTTTAACGTGAGAAACCAAGTTTCACAGCCATATGAAACAATAGGCAACACTGAAGTTCTGTATATTTTATTCTTTATGTTATTAGATAGTGGGTGAGTAGACGAATGATTCTGAACTTAATGGCGGTAAGCATTCCAAAAATTTGATCTGCTCTTAATTTCATCATGAACATAATTATGATTAAATATTTTAACACTGCCACATCTTTTAAGGATATGTTAGCTATCTTCATGTTATGGTTTTGTATTGTATTCTGTTAATCAGACATAAAATCACTGTGTACAGTTCTACAGCAACATTCTCATTAGCATCTATCAGGTCCATTATTGTATCTGCATGACATTCATAACTCTACGAACTAGAAATCTCTAACACTACACACTGTAACCACTTTACTTTGAATGCTGCACTGAATCAGAACACTTTACACCAAATCATGTCACTATGAGTATCTCAAATGCCACCTGAATTTCTCTTTTAAATTTGAAAAACTGAAATAAATCTGATATTTTAAGTAGATTCTGTGATAGCCTGTCACTTACAGAAGTAGTCCCAGAGGTAAAGATTGCGTCCAAAGAGGCGGGTTGACTTGAAGCCTGTAAGGAATGCCTGCTCCAGACAATACACAAGGCCTGTCTCCCCACACAGGAGCAGTGTTAGGGTGCTACGTTCCTTATCGTGCTTGCGATGATACAATAACTTGACAATGCTATTCACTGCATCACCTGAAGCAGTACAGAACAGGTAATGAGCAACTTGGCAGTCACAAGAAATGTTTATTTCTCTCTAGCCAACTAAGCAACTAACAAAGGTTACACGGCCTGAGAACCTCATCACTAATACCACTCAACCCTATCCTAATCCACCTCAAACACAAGATGTCCTGTGAACTTCACTGCCTCTACCTTAAGCCAGATGAAATACATCACCATCATAACTGAACCCCATCCTGAGCTGCCTCCTGTGAACTCTCAAGTTGAAATTGCCAAGGCTGGTGTTCACATGCCTCACCAGCCGTCATGTGCTGTAGCAATTAAGTTACTTCACTTTACATTATATCTCCGGCTATGTGGCAACCAACTGCTAATCTGAATAGCATACTGCAGGATGGTTTGGTATTATGAACAAGGAAGATTCGTATCTTATTTAATAATGCTATCACTACAGATTTTAACAATGTGTGGGACTAGGCCAGATGTCTCATATGCTAATGCTTCCAACTCATATTCTGGTGGTAGCTTGAATTTTGGCAGAGACATGGCTACCCTGATTGAGGTTTTCATTGCTTTCCTCAGTCCCTCCAAGAAAATGCTGGGATAGTATTTTCAATTACGTTATAACCGCTTCCTTCCACATCCTTATCAGTACATTATTCAGTCATACTACCATTCAACACTATTGTGATGAATATATTGCTAAACAATGCTTCGGTAAACATATTCTCAAGGTTACACAGTCAACAGTGGGACTTCTATTGCTAGGTAGCAAGTCCCCAAACATAGATTCCCATGGAAACAAATATTAATGAAGACATATTCCTGTGACAACAGGAGAATGACAACTAACTGTTCGATGTGGTGACCTACATTTGGGTCACCAGGAAGTTATAAGAGAGTCGTAATTCATTCAGAAGGAGTTCAATGAGTGAGAAGTGATTTTTCATTTGTCATTTGTCGTAGTAGAAGAGTAAACACTAGTGGTCCAGTAAAGAATTGAGTGAGTTGTAGCCAGTCATTGATTGTTAACGGTTATCATTGACTGTAACTGTAATAGAAGTGCCAATAAATCGAATCACCTAATCTAGAACCCATTATAACTAGTCATGCAAACCCTGAATATGTGACACTATATAGTGTGAGCAACTGAAAACGTTGATAAATAAACCACAAATAAATGAACTATAACACTTACAAGATATGAGGATGTATACATACATAAACTGAGAGGAACTTAAGAAGAAGCAATCAGAAGACCATACAAAAGCTGTGCCTATGAGTTACAGAAACAAATGTTAATTGCCTCACCCAGCATGTGTTGGATTTCTGCCAGAGAAGGGCGAGCATCTTGTGATCTGCGAGGCACACTGGGGCTGTGGCAACGAGGTGGGGGTGTGCGACATGTCTCTACAAGCTCATCACTGTCCACATCACGAGGCACCAGCTCACCAACCAGAAGGCGCTCTGTTGAGTCGTCATCAATGCCTCGTCCCAGCCACCGGCCACAAGGGAACCTGCTGGCACAGTCTTGAGTCAGACATACAGACAGGCAGCTCTGTCCAGAGCATTAACCTTTAAACGCCGGACTTCTGAAATAGTAGTAAGCTTGAGCTGGCCGGAGTTTATTTAAATGCCCACTGCTGGTGCGTGTTTAAATGCCCGTTGCTACTCTGCGTTTAAATGTCCGTTTCTGTTAGCACGCCTAAACAATTTTAAGCATTGTGTTTAAAAATGCTGTATCTAACTCAATATTTTTTATACAAATTATACTCCATTTTCAATTTTTGTCTTTTAATTTTGATGAGTACTGCAAAAATGATTTCTCAGTTCTTCACAGAGTTGTTCTGCATTACAAAATCATTTCTGTTTGTAACATTTGACAAATTTTAGCAGTCCCTGATGTCATAAAACAGATGGAAGCAATAAAATCAATTGGTCTTCTGCTAGCACTGCTTACACTCTTCGGATTTTCGAATCTTCTGACTGAAGGTCAGAAGAATGAAAGAATGGCTATTCAAGAGAAAGCTAGAGGGGTCCCTTCTTCAGTGCTAAGACCTTCCGTTATAGCTGCAAAAGCTTATTGCCCTTTCTATGGGCCTGAACAGACAGCTTGCATAGCGGCTGAGATTCAGAGTGTGGTCTGTTTTCTGTGCGTGCTTAGTGAAATCGAATACTGTAGTTTTATTTCAGCCTATATATACATCAAGCAGATAACAACAAAAAAGGTATGTACATCGAATTTTACTATATATTTTTAACGTATTAATCTGCAGAATCTGTAATAAAAGTACTGGCTCATCGATGAGTTTGGGCATAACTCATACATATACTCTTTTTGTTGTTGTTCACTTAGGTATCATTTTAATTTTTCTATTAGGGCTTTACTCAAGTCTGTCTGGTAATTACTACATTTAAAAATAAATGTTTAGGACTGTGCATGTGTTTCTACTAGCGGCGTGTGCGCGTGCTTCCCCTAGCGGAGTTTAAATGTCCGCCTGGCCAAAACAGGGTACTTTGGCCACGACGACCTTACTCACCACCGGCACAAATGGGGCACTTCGGCACTTAAAGGTTAATAACCTGACAAAACATTAATCTTAAACTGTACTGGACAACTTCACATGACATTGCAAATCTGGAATTAAAAAAAAAAGAATCAAATCAAAGTTACACTTCAAGAGTTTGATAAACCTGCACCCTCAAATAATTTCTCAAACCATATCAGCCATTCTGGGTTGCCGTTATACTTCAAAATATAAATTCAGTTTCAATAATATTATATACATATTAGTTGAGAGCATTTTTTTTTTAAGTGGGCAGTTCAAACACACTACAGTAATATAAAGATTCCATTGGTATACTCCATCTACTATGGCAACAAAGGTGTGTTATAGGCAGTCAGTGACAAAGAACATACATCATCACTAGAAAGTTAAGCAGATTTTGTTTTCAACATACTTCCAGTATTCATACGGTAGTGGGAAATTTAAACATAAATACACAGGATGTGTCTTCCAGTAGATTGGCTACAGGAGCTATGACATGCATATGAACCTTTCAGGTTTAAATGCAAGTACTTACAACTTAGAGTAGCTAAAATCATACTGCTTTTCACAATCCTAAAGTGAAAAATATGACCACTACCATGTCTAACATAAAGTACCGTTATAAAATTATTCTAAAAAAAATGACAACTGGCTATGAGTTGGAACCAGTATAAGTGTCAGTATGACTACCATTTCACCAACTTTTCTACCAGTTTAAAATTTTCCCCTGAAAGCCAGAGGGTTGGAGAAATTATAAGTCTTTTACAGTATGCACTCCAGCATCCTTAGCAATGTTACAGGACTGCTAGATTGTGGTGTAACACTTCATAAATTGAAATGTTCTCTTTCGACAAGGAACATTTCAAATTGGACTGTATTTATGGCACACATCTAATAACTGTACACAAAATGTCAGTAAATATCTCTTAGCAATAACCAGTACTGTCTACTAACAGGGTTTGGCTTCAGGCCAGTGTCATCTACTGAGAACAGTTTGTATATATTCAAAACTCTTCGCCAATCGCCATCATTAAATCAAAAATATTTCCACTATCAGCATATGTTTCTGTGTTCAAGGTATGAAAAAGCTTATCATAAAAAAATATGGGAACTGAAAGATTAATAAATGGAAAGATCATCATTACTTCAATGTCTGAAATGTTTAGTACATAGATAAAGCAAGTCTACTTAGAAACCATGTACACGTCAAAGTTATGATGTATATTATATTTAAGCATCCTGTTGCACTCCATACGATAAATGATATAAACTCCGTCTCAAGTGCAAACAATATATTTTGTGTCTTTGATCTTGCTCCCTACACTACATGTTTCGGCCTCAGACGGCCATCATCAGGTGTATAACACTCATGTCGCTGTCACACTGCACCCAGTTCAAAATTTAACATCTAAAACACTTTCCCTGTCATTATCAACTTCTACTTCGTTGATAGCTGTCCACCCGTAGATTACTTCACACACGTTAATTTTGAGTTTATTGTAATAGCACCATAATAAAATCTTTAGTTCTAATTTGCTTACGTGAGCACACGTAGTAAAGAATAGCAGCGGCACGCACACAGAAAGACTACACAGGATAACACCTATACAGTGTGGAAACAAGAACTAGCCGCTGCAGCACTTCAAACACAGGGCGAATAACCCTAACAATTTTAAAATTTTAAAATTTGGACAAGAATTTAAAGGTTTAAAATTAGAACTAAAGATTTTATTATGGTGCTATTACAATAAACTCAAAATTAACGTGTGTGAAGTAATCTACGGGTGGACAGCTATCAACGAAGTAGAAGTTGATAATGACAGGGAGAGTGTTTTAGATGTTAAATTTTGAACTGGGTGCAGTGTGACAGCGACGTGAGTGTTATACACCTGATGATGGCCGTCTGAGGCCGAAACATGTAGTGTAGGGAGCAAGATCAAAGACACAAAATATATTGTTTGCACTTGAGACGGAGTTTATATCATTTATCGTTATGATGTATGTTTGCCAGTGAACTCTCTCCTGAGCCTCTTAGTTTTGGTCCTCTTCAATTATTAGACCTATTACAATGCCAAGCTTTAGCTCTGCAGATCTGACATGACTACTCACTTGTATGTGTGTCCAGTGACTTCATTGCGCACAACTACGTGTTCCACCATCCACTTAGGGGAAGGCCCAGAGTTGTCATGTCCAATCCTCAGCGTTGTGAGGATGCCCAGGTTCTTGTGCTGCAAGGCAACAGTAGCCTTGTGATATCACGGTACAACACTACACTGCTACATTGCATGCTGTACAAACAGCCTTGTGATATCACCTTACAACACTACATTGCTACATCACATATTTTATGAAGATTATGAGTAATTTTCAGGAAGTAGAAATTCATGAACAGAGTAGAATGCAAGGTGTGTATTTAAGTATCTTTCAGCACTACTTTAAATTGTGTCTTTTCAGTCACAAAACTTTTGAAACAAGGTGGTAGATTGTTGAAAATTTTTATTTCAGCATAGTCTGCACTTTTCTGAAAACATGACAGGTTGGAAATTGGTCAATGAAGAGGGTGCTTGTTTTTTGTGTTAACAATGTGTACAGCTGAATTACTCTGAATATTTTTTGTTATTTATAACAAAGTTCACTTACACGAAATAAAAACTCCAGGGCCCCACGAGGGATTGGCACTGGGGACGTTTCACCAAGTGTACCTGATACTGCAACCCATGAATTAGCCGAGGTGGTGGCAGCACTTGTTTTTCTGGAGGGGAATATCACCACACGGTAAGGTAGCTCTGTCAGATAGACAAAAATCAGTGTAAGAGGTGGAAAGCTGTGCTGCCAGCAGCCTGCTGTATAGCACATGACTGGCAGACACAGTGCAGGTAGATCCATTAGTAGGTAACATCATCATGGGTGTTAGGGAAACACAAGAGGATGGAACTGGCTTCGGACAGAGTGATGCTGAACGTACTCACTGGTGCCAGTGTAAGTGTTGGTAAAGCAGAAGTAGTCGACAGCATTCAGAGTCAGCAGGTGGTAGAGAAACTGCTCCTTCTCATCCTCGCAGCGGAGGAATGCATAGCGCTTGTACTGGCTCCTGCAACCATAGCAGAATTATCAAACCCAGGACATCTACTTGGGGAGCCATAGTGTGATGCAGATTATCGAGCCATACCTGAGCAATGCAGAATCAGAAAGTAGAGTGCGAAGGTGCCTGGACAGGAGTTTCTTCTCCAGTGACAGTCGCACCCATGCTCTTGCATAGCCAATGTGTGTCTTGATGTCTGTCATTGCCTGCACATTCCTACAAACATAGGAATTTTAATCATAACCATTTCAGTGGAAGAACTTTGAGACTGCTTTGTATCTTGGTCACTTAAATGACATATATGCTCAAGATAAGGAGCAGAAGCAGAAAGTATTAAGGCAATCACACATGAAGGAAACTGGCAACCTTAACTCTGAAGAAAGGCCATCCATTTTGAGTGGGAAACCAATTTCCTGACTAGCATGTGCCACACTGAGGAAACTTCTGTTTGATCAGTTGCCATGTCATCTCAAATGGGTGTGTTCATCTGACTTAATCTTTAAGAGACCAACTTGACCATATGTTAGTCTTCACACTGTATTTTCAGACGGCCTGGCAAACCATAGGCTGGTCTCCTTGGTATTACTCTGGACTGCCCAGCAGGAAACATGTAAAAAAAGTCTCTATGGGTAATATTTCTTCTGATAAGTAATGCTGTGCGGTGTGATAGAAGTCCATCGACATTTTGGACAAACGTACTGCCTGCATTTCAGGCTTGAAGAGTAAGACAAGTAAACAACCAGCAAGACTGAGGCAGCGAACAGAGCCTATGAAGAGAACTGCTGTCTCATACACAACCCCATGTTGTCTGGTAGATGTCCACTAACATTCTGTGGCAAAGAACTGCCCCCATCTTCAGGCTTGAAGAGTAAGCCAAGTAAACAACTAGCAAGAAGTAGGTTTTTTTTTTAATTCGCATAGTGGGGGGGTGGAGTCCAGCTGGGTCCACTCGGCATGTTGGCCACTGATTGGCCTATTGTACCTGCCCCAGGTGATTATGATGATGGAGAATTTGGTGGAATGAAGATTGGCAGGGGAAACCGATGTACTCAGAGAAAACCTGCCCCAGTGCCACTTTGTCCACCACAAATCCCACTTGACCAGACCCAGGCTTGAACCCGGACCACTGTGGTGGGAAGCCAGCGAATAACTGCTTCAACTACGGTGTGGCCAAGAAGTAGGTAACAAGCAGAGTCTATGAGTAGTAGTATCTTCTGGTATATACAGACAGTTCAAACAATCTTTTTGCATATTCTGGGTTGAATAGTTGGTCATGTGAGAATCTGACAAGAAGCTATCCCTGTAACAGGCTGTGAAAACCCATAAGGTTGTGAGATGCCGAGGCTCCCATATTTTGTCTAGACAACTGGCTCACAGATGGCAGTAAGGTTCTCAGCCTTATGTGTTGGCCACCCTTTAAGCCCCAGGAAGATTCCTGGCACTCATTTCTGTTAGAGGCTGAGTTGACTCCAAGGCCATAGTGCGGCTGGAAGGATTAGGTAAACTGAAAAATCCACCTCATCAGGATCTGAACCTGCAATCTTCAGGCTTGTAGCACAGTGCCTCAATGAACTATACTACCGCATGCCCCCAAATATGAAACTATGCACAATTTTTTAGTAAATAATAGGATCACAACAAGTACGTACAATACCTATATTTTTTCATATAGTTCCTTGTCCTTTTCAAACACACTTAGTCCAGCTGTCCATAAGCTTCTGTATGCTCTCAGAAAAAGATGTTTTTGGTTGAGTGACAAGCCACATATGCACTACTTCTTTCAATTCTTGTTCACCGGTGAAATGGCAGCCTCTCAGACTGTATTTGAGTGGACAATACAGGTGACAGTAATGAGGAGCCACATCAGGATAACATGGAAGATGCTTCAACACTTCAAAATTCAGGTGGCAGAGACTTCAATGCTGTTGGTGGCAATATGCAGAGGGGCATTGCTGTGCAACACTGTGACACATTTTGACAACAGTCCTCACTGTTTGGTTCGAATAGCTCATTCCAGCTAGTCCCAAAGTATTTTACTATAATGGACACTGTTTACTGTTGTGCCTCTGTCTTGGTAGTGCTCCAAAATTGGCCCTTGTGTATCCTAAAAATGTTTCCACATTGTTCTTGCTGATAGTTAAATTTTGAACACCTTTTTGAAAAGCAATATCAATCCTTTCTATGTCAGGGGTTGATCTGAAGGATCAAATGCTACATCCCATACTTGCTGGAATATAAGGAAGGTACCAAGTGGAATTTGAAGTTATTCATGAGACTACTCAGTTATAGCAATACACAATGCAGTGATCATGTACTGGCCACTCCCAAACAGCAGAAGCAGAATCACAGGTTCAAAAAAATTCAGGCTTTCACTAGAACAAGGCCTCATGGAAAAACACATCTCACATGTTCCTTGTTCTGTATGCAGCTGTCCACCTATTGACCCACTGCCTACAAGACTCACACAATAATATAACCTGGAATGTATTATTGCCATCAGAAAAAAGGCAAAACTTCAGAGAAAATGAGTGCCGAGCGCAAAACATGGCAAAGGGAGAGAATCCATGTATTGGTGCAGTTAATGTGAAATAGGGTTGTATTTTCGTGTGGATGTTTGACGTCCTACCATACAAACCTCAACTTCCAAATCCATCTGTTCTGAGAATTTCAGCGAAAAATTCATTATTACATCTCACACAGTTCAAAATTTAAGAAGGATGAACTATTTTAGAGGAAGAATTAAATAGGCACTTAACAAATACTTCTGCAGGCCACTCACAGCTGTGGCATTTGTATGTCTGTGCTGAAGGGTTAAAGCCTAAACAGGGATAAGTCCTATTCTTCCATGCAAATTGTATTGTTTACTGCTGAGCACACTATGAAAAGTGCACGCTTTCTGCAAACTGCACTGTCCCTTATGTTCAATAACTTTTGAACACATGCTGTAAAAAGTGCAAACATCAAAACAATCATTAGCGAAGAACAGGAACTGTTTGTTGTGGCTCATCCTGATGGCCCTGTCCAGGTATATAAATGTTCTAAACGAAACAAGTGCATTAAGCAAAACTATTGTTTTCTTTCTTGTAAACTTAAAAACTGCTACTGCCACATAAAACACAATGATAAATCCAAACACAGGGCAAATACATTTAAGAGTGTTGTCATCTTTTTTATTTTCTGTTTAAGAAACAAATGACTGTAAATTCTGTATTGTCACAGATGTGCAGAATCCTATCACCTAAAATCAATCGATTACCATTAAAATTACCTCATGTCAGCGGTCAGTGACACAGGCAGGGGACGCAGATTTGGCTGCTCTGAATTAGGAGGCAAAGAGGCAGGGCTGCTACTAATTTGTGACCTGCCCTCTGGCAATTTGTGTCCTTCTCGACCATGACGCTGACTGGAAGGTGACAGGTCCGTCTCCAATGCCATTGAAGACAGATCTGAAGAAGAGCAGTAGAAAAACTTCATTGCTAATTGCTAGGCTCCAACTACATGAGACCTGAAGTTCTCATGCCAATGACTATTAAGATTATGGACTTCAGGAATGTGACACCATGTGGTCTGGTACATGTGTACCAACATTTTGGAGAAACCTGCTGCCTCCGTCTTTAAGAGAGCTGAAAATGATTCCTCCAAAATGTGATTTGGCAAATTCATGCAAGTCTTGTTACAGTTAATCTGGATGTCGGATAATCCAGACCAAAATATGATAAATGAAAGATGCTCTTCACAGTTGAATATATACTTTAAAAGACACATGGTGTTTAGGAAGGCAGATGAGTCATTTGTCTGTTCAGACAAAACTTGACAGTTTCTTCACACAAGCAGTACTTCTGAGTCTTCTATCATTAAACAAATGTATTGTCTTTTTATGGTTTTTAAATATAGGCTCTACAGTGATATTTTGTTATTTATTTTCATCACCACTACCTATATAATTAAACTTTCCATTTATTTGTTTTTGTCTTCTAGGGCTACCTTTTGCTCCACTATTCTGGATTATTGCTTAATCTGGATGACCTCTCCCCACAAATACTACTAATTAGGGGGAGATTGAAGTACTTCTACCACACCACATGGTGTCACATTACAGAGGACCACCAGGTAACCTTTGCAAATTGTTCAACAGGCTCAATGTTTCACCCAACTATGTGATATGCTGAGACTTTCATCCCATTCGGAGTCATAAAGCAACCAAATACATTCCACACAGCACACCATAACAAAGACAGTCACAAGCATCCCCTGAGAACCAGCAACATCAAAACATCAAACTGAACATGTGGTCTGTTTCCTGTGAATTCCAAGACATAAAACACTTATGTATACGAGCACATGCACGAGATCTGACCCACAGAGTAATATGGAATCAGTTATGCAAAGTTCGTTCCTTACAATTATGTGGCAAGGCCCCCTGATGTTTCTGCATAAAGTGACACATCGCCAAGCCTGGCTGAAATTCCTGTTCCCACAAGCACACAACAAACGATCAGATGCAGGCTTCATTCACAAGGATGAGCAAACACTATCATGTGTATATGTAAGTTTTCAAATGCAGGAACAAATTAAACCCACTTTGTGCTAGTCTGGGCTGTAGGGAGATGATTAAATCATTCCCAGCCAAATTTTGTGATGAAATCTTGCACTGTGGTGGCAGTGTGTGGGCAGGCATTGACATGAAGCATCACAACACCCTGACTAAGCACGTCACATCACTTGTTCTGGATCACATGATGCAGTTTCTTAAGTGTGTTGCAACAGACACCTGCATTGATTGTTGAGCCTTGAGGTAAGAATTCCACAAGCAGAACGCGTTTTCCACCACAAAATATTGTGTGCATGATCTTGCAAGTTGAAATGGTCTATTTGAATTTTTTATTTATTGGCGGTGATGTGTGCCTCCATTCCATGGACTGCTGCTTCAATTCAGGGGTTACATGTGACACCATTTCTCATCTCCTGTGACTGTGCAGTTCAAGGAATCATCACCTTGCTCACTGTATCATGTCAGAAAGGTCAATGCACTGGCCTGCCGTTTCATATTGTGTTCATCTATAAGCATCTTCACACCCAGCATGAATATAATTTCTGGGGATGAAGTTTATCAGACACAATTTCGTGAATAAGTGACCATGAAATTTGTGGAAAATGTAAGTGACAAAATGGTGAATTGTCTGTTCTCTTGAATCTTCATTAACCACAGATGGTCGGCTGTTCCCTGGATCATCATGCACAATTTTGCGTCTTTAATTAAAGTGTCTCACCCATCTCTGCACCATTGAATCACTCATGACATGTTCTCCACACACTGCACAGAGTCGACAAATGTCAGTCAGTTTCATGTTTCTTGCATTCAAGGAATGGATTACAGACCGAATTTCACATGTGTCATGCTTCTCGATTTACTTAAAGATTGTAAACACACAGGACGATGAGTAAACGCGGCTCAATTGTCTCCAAATGGCATCCGTGCCTTCCAAAAGGACCAACAAATTCTGCATGCATGTGCACCATAGTGACTGCAGCGCTGCAGTGGCAATATGTGCAAACCAAACTTATTTTGTGGGTATGCCTAATATGAAACCTCAGATTTTCAGAACCAAATATCGTACATTTTTTGACATACAGTACCTGGACTCACGAAAGTATGCATGGCTCACCTGTGTGGCAAGTTCAGCAATACTGCCAAACTTAAGAGAAGACAGCAGTGAAACTGGGAACCCCACTCTTAAGAAATGAGTTGGGGACCAAGATGTTACCACAACACAAACAAAATTAAATTCCTGAACACATGATGCATATTGTTGGTAACACTGTGCATAATAATACTGCATCGAGCATCAGAGTACACCTAACCACTACATAATTATGGTGATAAGAGTAAATGAAGTTTACAGTATGAGGGCTAAAGATGCCGTGATGATGACACTGAGCAGTCTAGTACACTGGTACCATTCCTTCAGCAGATTTGTCCAAGAATACTGACACTTATATAATGTCTCACCACAGAAGACCCAACTCTTAAAGATCTGTCTCTAACCTATGTGTCACTAAATAAAACAAAAAATGCGGTGATACAATGAAGTGCAGACTCAGACAATTACAACAGGCCACAAGCAAACAGTTGCAACATGCACACAGATGGCAGAGTGGACGTACAGTCAAGTCTCTTCCGGAGCACACACCACGCGAGGACTGTCCAGTAGCATGCAGACAAACAAATTTCACATTATGAGTTCAATTTTATACAACACTGTTACACTCAACTTAGTTGTGGATATGAGGGAGAGTCAGTAAACAGGTCACAAATGGAAATAATAAGTTTTCTATGTGTATCACTAGGTAGCAGACATGTATGCACATGTTCAGAGGCTGGTTTCAGTAGTCAAAATGGTGACAGTGCTTGAGGAGTATACTACCGAAGAGAATTGTTCTGTTGTGCATTTTTTGTGTGCAAACAGGATCAATACAAAGAATATTCATAAATAAATGTTCCTTGTTTATGACTGAAGTGTTTGTCACATAAAGTAGTTCACAACTGGGTCTATAAATTCTCAAGGACATTTTAATTTGCAGATGATGCCCGACCAGGTTGCCCTGTTCAGATTGTGAGAGAAGCAACTGTGCAGCAGGTGCAAAAGTTGATTCGAGCTGACAGGGGCATAATGATTAATAATGTAGTAACTGCACTAGGGTGTTCCATGGTTTAGCATACAGCATAATGCATGACTGTTTGATGTTCAGAAATTCTGTGCATGCTCGATGCCCATAGAACTGAAGGATCAAGAAAAAATTAACCAAATGGATCTGTCCTTGCAACATCTCTTATGGTAAGCAGATGTAGGCGAGGATATGCTTCACAGGATTGTTACTGGTGATGAATCATGGGCTACAATTCATAGAAAATTTCCAGGCGAACTGGCAAGAGGGGTACTGCTTCATCATGACAATGCCAGACCCATACTGCCTGAGCAATCCAGGAGAGAATTCAAGAACTATAGCTGGAACCTCCTGAACATCTGCCTTACAGCCTGGACTTGGCCGCTACTGACTTCCATCTGTTTGGTCTGCTAAAAAACCACTTTGGTGGCAAACGTTTTGCTGATGAAGAAAAGGATGAAACAGAGGTGCAGTAGTGGCTGATACAACAGTCAGAAGGCTTTTATGCTGCAGGTTTTGATGCACTGGTATACCGATGGGACAAGTGCATCAATGTTGATGTAGGATATATCAAGAAATAAATATTTCTTCAGGGTTTGAATATCATGTTTTACATTTAATATCCATGTGTGACCTATTTACTGACTCTTCCTTGAACAACACAGCCCTGCATAATGTACTGGATGCATTCTTGAAAACATCTATACTGCAAAACTCCATAATGTGAACCCTATTTTTCCATTGATTCCAATGTTTTAAATAAAGATATGTTCTTACAGAAAAATGTACAATTCACAGTTATAATAAAAATGAACTTAATTAAATGCCACTTAAAATGCAATTCATTTCTGTACTCATTTAGGGGCACACTTGAACCTGGTAGCCTCTTTCCAGATATCTTGAACCACAATCACAAACAGATGGGAATTGCAACCATGCTACCAGCCATGTACATGTACGTAGGCTGGCCAGCAGCAAACTACATGTCCTATGTCATGAACATGTGCACATGTGTGACACAAATTTCTCTACAAATGGATAGGTTTGTTGTTCTGCATTTAGGGTTTGATGAGAATTTTAATATTTATTCAAAATTTCCATAAGGGAGAATTTATGTCTCATACTGCATTAAGACAAAGTTTATAAGTTCTATAAGAGCAAAATTCCATAACAATTTATGTCCACACTGCACTTGCTGTCAGATACCACATACTACAGCAACTCTGTTCAACATCTGGCACCCTGTTCTCACCCTTTTTCTTTACATGGGTAGGGAATATTATAATGGGAGTTACTCCCACCCTCTGTGTCAACGACCATTTTTAAACTATACGGAGTGACTTTTGAGTACTGATTTCTCAGTACCCTCAGAAAATGTATGAACAAATCAGCTTCAGTAACAAGCTTCGAAAATAGACAGAATGGCTGAAGTTGCAAAGAAAAGAAAACTGTTGTGTGTGGAAGATAATGTTAACGTCATAAAACAAACTGAGAGTGGAATAAAAAGAAAATGTGTGCCAGGAATTCAGTTTAGTTAATTCTATAATTAAAATTTATGCCAAAACAGGGAAGAAATGGATCACAAACTAAATGATTACAGAAGCCAGAATGGAGGGATGTGGCTGAAGGGCTAGTGAAATCTGATTTCATCCCTTCATCAGTTGGTACAACACTCATTTATGATATAATTTCTACAGTCCCTTGAGAGACATGATATCTGAATATGACTGCATATAACTCACACAGGTTCTATAAAAAGCTCTGTAATAAAACTACCTTCAATGAGCAAAACTGTTAAAAGTGAAAATGAATCAGTACTCAAGACTGGACTTAAATATACCAGAAAGATATCATTTGTAAACTGAAACAACAAATACTCTGCAATAAAAGTAATACAGTATGTTAATATAATTTCATAATTCTGTGTATATTTTTTTTACTGCTAGTGGGGTGGGATTAAGTCCTTTGTACTGCGGTCACTTCTGGCCTATTGTACCAGCCCCAGATGATAGGTGAGGATGATTGTAGAGCAATTGGTGGAATGAAGATTGGCAGGGGAAACCAAAGTACTCGGAGAAAACCTGCCCCAGCGCCACTTTGTCCACCACAAATCCCACTTCACCAGACCTGGGCCGCCGCAGTGGGAAGCCAGCATCTAACCGCGTGAGCTATGGCGCGGCCTCTGTGTATACTTACATCAGCCACACATACTCACTGGCATCTGGAGAGACACATAATTTCCCACCAGCATATGAATACCAGTACTACATAGAAAACGGAACCTACTAACTTTCTAATGATGACACAATGGTATAGATCATTAACTGAAGACAAATTACCATGGTTCATGGTTTGGCAGGACTCTTTTAAGTTGCTAACATTTCTGAGAAGCCTGCTGCCCTTCTCTTCAGGACAGAAGGTACATTATGCTGGAATGCACAAGGATTAGGCTACAGAGTACACAGTGGTCTCACCTCATTGAGCCATTCTGTTCGATATATAGTGCTAGAATGAGGTGGCTACTCCAGTATGTGTTTTGTGCATTATGTTGGCTGCTGGCACCTGTATGTCCCTTACGCTTTCCACTGCTTATTACTATAGTGTAGGCATTTCAGTTTCTCAATACATGTGCTGCAGTATGAAGGCACAATTACACAAGTATCATTATACTCACCAGGAGTCAAGAAGTTGGGATCAATGGGTTTTGAAGTGTCGTCACATTCCTTGAGTTCCTGGTAGTTGGTGAGGTGAGACCAGAGGGCTGACTTTCCCTGCAAAACACCATCACAGTGTCTCACTGTCTACCTTAGGAAACGCCCTCCCTCACAGACAAGAATAACGAATTTGGTTCTGGGAAGTATAAACTGCCAGAGACAAAATTTAATTTCATATAAAAGCAATTTCATGGCAACATGAACACTGGAGTGCATATAAGATGGGCCTAGTATATTCAGTTGCATAATTTATGCCACTCAACAGTTTATGCACCTTTATCTTTTGAAAATTTTAAATACTGCATTTTCACCATTGATAATATTTGACCAATGCATAATGTTTGCAAAAAATGATACTTAAGTTAAATTCTTTGAGGAAAAATGGTATGGGGAACTTTCATATGTTTTCCCCACAAATTATGCATTCTGATATATTGGGTTTTTGGACTTTATCCATCATCCTGGTCTTTAAGATAACTAATAAAAACACGACGTTTCGGAAACTGGACGTCCAGTGATTGAGCCTAGCTCCTTCTAACGGACCCAACAGAATAGGTGTTTTCCTTCGCCTGAGGACGGAAACAGATCCAGTTTCAGAAACGTCATGTTTTTATTAGTTATCTTAAAAACCAGGACGATGGATAAAGTCCAAAAACCCAATATATCAGTGTGTTATACACCATCGTCAGAATCCTATAGTAACTACTTAAATTATGCATTGTTTGAAATAATATTAAGGGACATTTGCATCTCACTGTTCATTAATGAATTGCACAGTGAGGTCCATAGGCATGAATATTCATACTGAGCTGCCTCATCAAACTCCACCTTAAACACATTATCTGAAAATTATGTGTCAACAGGAACTTTAATGCTGAATAACAGGTTCTCACAAGAGTGACTATGAAGAGTAGGAACTTCTGGATCTGGTGTGGACTTCTGCTGCCTCTAATTCAATTGTAGCTGCCAGAACCTTGTGTGTAGAGCTACATTCTGCAAAATGGAATTTGCATATTTTACACTCCACAACTTTCATACATCACTTCTTGAGTAAGTAAATGTGTAAGTTATTCAGGTACTGTATACAGGCTAGGCCACTCACTACAGCCTGGAACATAGTGGTGGGGGATGGACAGAAGTATGGTACATGCACTAGACTGCACATTAGTGACAGGAATAAATGGAAAGGTGTTGGGAGGTGATGTGGGATACAGACTATTATAGTGACAGAGTAGCAACGTACATTATATGTCACGTGGGAGGACATTGCAGGCACTCCAGCAGATGGTTAGCTGACTGAGACAAGAGACTGAGATCAGAGAGTGGCATTACAAATGTCAGATTCCACATCCAAATGGCAGTCAGTAGTTAGACAGACACTTTCTGGGGCACTGTGTGATATGGCAGAGGAATGTGCTGCCCCTCTCTTCAGGGTGTGAGCATGAGCCCAGCATGGTACAAGTGGTTCTGATGTAGGGAAGGAGGACAGAAGATAAGGGCAGACAAATGCAAGATGACAGTAAAAACTAGCTGATCACTTCTTTTCACAACTGCATACAATGCTGCAGAACAAGATGAAATACCAGTTCACTAACTCAACACATTTTTTTATTGCTAGTGGGGTGGGGATAAGTCCCTTGTACTGTGGCCACTTCCAGCCTATTGTACCAGCCCCAGATGATAGGTGAAGGTGATTGTGGAGCAATTGGTGGAATGAAGATTGGCAGGGTAAACCGAAGTACTCGGAGAAAACCTGCCCCAGCGCCATTTTGTCCATCACAAATCCAACTTGACCAGACCCGGGATCAAACCTGGGCCGCCGCGGTGGGAAGCCAGCGACTAATCGCTTAAGCTATGGTGCGGCCTAACTCAACACCTTACTGTCATGTAGTACAGCTTGACAATTCAACACCATTTATACAAAATTCACTAACTGGATTCTGTCTTTATCCAGCTCAGTTTAGTTCACATCCTCACAGCCCATTTCCTAAGATCCTCTCATCTCCATTTCATTCACACAAGATGGCTCCCTGAAGACACTGGTCCAGCCCAGTGCATGACATGACAGCACCAGAACCAACCTGTTTTTTCTGCAGTCCATGTGACCAAATCCGCTCCAGAAGGTCACACAAGCTTGCAATGAGTGTATTTTCTTCCACTCCTTCCAGTGAACTCTCCCCACTACCATGCCCAAGTTCCACAGCTTCAGTTCCCATTTTTTCCACCAACATACGTTTTGTCTTGCTCTTGCAGTCCTGCAAACATATGGCACAATACACATCATTAACCTTTACTGTCATGTGTGGTGCAGCTGCGCTTTCTCCATACTAGTATCCCTACTCACAGGCTGCTAATCATGTAGAAACAGGAGATGCAGAATCTCCTGTTCCTGGACACTAAGGGTCAAACAACTAACGCATGTTCGAAGGATGGCAATGTACTTGAGCAACGAGTGAGAACTGTATAGTGTAGCCATTTTCAGTAAAGTCAATAGTGAAACACCCAAACCAATGCAGTGGCAATTGCTTCACAATTAGGCCTCACCTTTAACAATGTCTCCACAAAGGTCCAGTTGGTCTGTGCTACCCGTGCAGGACTCATGTCGTTTCTCAACTTGGGCTGCCGCAAACTGATCCCTGTGCTGCTGACCCTCTGTAGTAATCCCACAGTGTCGGCTGTTCTCTCACCATCTACTGGTTCATGCTGCTCTATGTTCTGGTGATGGTGACAATGATGACCAGTGCGCCACTGCATAGTTTTACGTTTTTGAGATCTGCAACATCAATTGGACAGACTCTTGTTCCCTCACAAGCATGGAAGTGGGGAAAATCAGAAAATGAGATTTTAGTTTTCCATTGAGGTGCACATTCAAGTTGCAGGTTATGACACAGTGTAGTCTGGCAGGCTGACACAACTGTTTCAGAGAAACATGCTGTGTCTGTCAGGATTAGACAGTTTTTGGAGTTTGTCCATAATCTGGTAATTCTACACAATGCAATGTTTCATAACATGGCTCTGATTCCATCCTCAGGCAAAAGGGTGAGAGGCATCTATTCTGCAAAGCAATTAGAATGAGCTAACCTCAGACACTTGACAATCCAAGCCAGTTTGACTACCCCTATATGGTCAGCCAAAAGTTCCTGGGCATGTACAGTGGATGAGTACATTCAGGCAGCCTCTGTACATGAATACAAATACATTTCACATATTTACTTAAGTTACAATAAATGGTGGAAATGAACCCCTATGTGCTTGCAGACATGCATCTACACATCTTATTCTGTTTGCAAGGACACACAACATTTCAATCAGAGGGATATTCCTGATGAAATTTGTGATGGTCTCCTTCAGTTCAAGGAGAGTTTGAGGACTGTTCCTGTATGCCACGCATCTCATTGCTCCCCACAGATAGTAATCGGGGGGTGTGAGGTCTGGCGACCGCAGTGACTAGATTCTGTCCCTGGCTGCACTGCACAGCAGCATCCTGTCAAATGTAGCAGTGGGCACTTTCACCACTTTTAAGTGTTCAATGAAAGGGTAAAGAATCACTTCACAATAACGTTCCAAGTTGATGTCAGTGAAAAATATGCAGAAGATTACCCAATTTCATGATATGGCACATAATACACCATCCTTCCAATCATGTAACAGTGCATCCTTGAGCTCATGTGGCTTAGTCGCTGACTAAATGTGGCTGTTTTCGCTGTTGTTGCGTAACAAGATTAATGAAATCATGCCTCATGCACAAAAAATGTGACGTTCAGAATATCCTACCCATTGGCGGTAATAACGTTTCTAAAACCACTGGCAATATTCAACACATCCGACACTGCCCCTTTTTTTCAATTCATGCATTGATGTTATCTTGAAGGGAAGCAGGCACAAATGCTTCTTCAGCATGCTTTGTGCACAGCAGTAAGTGACACCTGTCTGCTGTGCCTATTTATGAACATTAATGCAAGGGTTATCCAGAAAGTAAGTCCCGAGGGGCTATTGAAAAAGAAACAAGAATTTATGAGTATTTCCTAACCATTTATATTGCCATTTGATGTATATATTGTACACTACTTTTTAACATAGTTTCCACCACTGGTGAGGCACTTGCCGTAGCGGGACACCAGTTTTTGTAACCCTGCATCGTAGAATGATGCCACCTGTAATGCAAACCACATGTTAATGGCTTCTTTGACCTCATCGTCATCGTGGAACCGCCAGCCACCAAAGCTCTTCAAATAGAAGTGACATAAAGAAATGGCTCAAAGATAACAGGAGTGGCCAATCAGAGCCAAGGACAGGGATATGGAGGAGAGAGCCAGATTGGTTCAGAAAAGGAGGAAGAAGTGTAATGCAGAGCTCAGTTACAGCCAAAGGTTCTCACTGACCATAGATCTGACTGGGCCCACTAACCATCTCTAACCTGCTTCTTCTACCCCCCCCCCCTTCCATTCTTGGTTCACTTGTACCCCATAGATGGAGGCACATAGTATTACTGTCCTCACCTGTGAACAGGCTCCTTATTAAGAGCAACTGGGTCCAGCAAAGGGAATACACCTGAGTGCTGCTGTGGACCAGCAGTCTGCAAGACTTCCTGAGGGCTGGCCACCACAATGTCCACTGATGCCAGACGCTTCTCCAACAGTAATTCTGTGTCCCTAATGGTAGTGCAGGGCTCATAGCCTGGTGTGCGTACCAATGCCTCCCCAAACCGCTTTCTGCAAAACAGTATGTAATAAAATTAGGCCCTACCTTCCAGAGGACCATGAAGGACAGCAGCAGTGGCTGGAACTGTCTTATCTTTACATATACACACCACATTCCTTGTGAGAAGGTGAAGATCATGCCTGCCTGCACTTCCTCTCTGAAGCAACTGAATCCATTGCAAGGAAATCTGATGTTCAGCAATAACACCAAATGCCAGTCTAACAATATCCCTAGTTTACATGAGGTTAAAAACAGTTTACTTACTATCCAGAAATGGCTTATCACACCTAAAATAAAAATGGTACATAATACAAAATACAGGTCCCATGAAGACCTATGATGTTTATGCAAAAAATTTTTTGATACAGTACATACTTCTGTCTAGTGTCTCCAGACATGGTCAGTGTTACTGTCAGTCTATTGTCTCCAGATATGGTCAGTGTTACTGTCTGTCTACTGTCTCCAGATATGGTCAGTGTTACTGTCAGTCTATTGTCTCCAGATATGGTCAGTGTTACTGTCTGTCTACTGTCTCCAGACATGGTCAGTGTTATTGTCTGTCTACTGTCTCCAGACATGGTAAGTGTTACCGTCAGTCTACTGTCTCCAGATACAGTCAGTATTACTGTCTGCCTAGTGCCCCCAGATGTGGTCAGTGTTGCTACTGTCCAGTGCTCCTGATAAAGCCTATGTAGAATTTTCTGGTCAGTCTCTGTCTAGTCAGGTCAGGGTGCAGAATCAATTTCTGTGTTGTTGGGTGAATTCTTGCCCTCCTCCCACGTTGAGGTGTTCATGAGAATGTTTGGTAGAGGTCGCCTACAACTTAACATGGGCTCTAAACCTAGTGTGTGTTGGTTCTGGCCATGGATTCTTCACATTCTGACAGTTCTATATTTGGAAGAGGTTCAACTTTCACTCTGTGGGCAGAAAAATCTGCATACATATCCAACTGGGAATGAAACTTGCAATCTTCTGAATGACACAGTCCTCCCCCACCCCAAAATTCATTTGCACATTCTCCATTCAGCCCAAGTGCTCCTGCAATAAAAATACATCATCCACCTGGTGCTACTAATGTCATAAGTTGTGTTCCATCCTATTATGAGTTGTCTGTTACAAGCTGTACCTGAGGAGGCGTATCCTTCGGTCAAACACACGCAAGTTTGGCTCCATCTCACTCCAGCTGGCCATGATCTTGTTGTCAATCAGTGTGGCAAACATTTGGCTCTCAATGAATCGTGACAGGAATGGCAAATGCTGCTCAGGTTGGTCAGACAGGAATGTGGCCTTGTCAAAGTTCTGCATCGTGTCTCTGTTATTCAGCCACTGTTCCTTGTCCTGGCAGCAAACATAACCTCAAAAGAGACAGTCAAAACAGTGGCACAGATCACACTCTGCAATGCTGCTGGCCCTAACTGCTGTTACTCTGACATATAAACCTCAGTCCAATGCAGGATTCTGAACACTTAATGATTATGCCTCCAGACCTTCCAACCCTCTGTTGCCTTGGTAATTTTTTAATATATTTCTGAGGTGGGAAAAAGATTTGAGGAAGCTGACAGGTGAGAGAGCCCTACTGTTATCAGAGATTGTGGAAGGTAGAGGCAATAGATCTCATCAGTCTCAAACCAAACACCTCTGGCACAGAAGCCAGATGTCCTGTAGACATGAAAGTCCTGCTCTAATAAGCTCCACTGAAATATATTTAAAACTGCCAAGTCTTGAGCAGATCCTTCTTTAATGCCAGTGAACCAGCTGCAGAGGTAATTTAGCACGAATGACATGGAAAGGTGAACTGGGAAGGTTGGGGTACGAAGTGACCATGGTCTATTAAGAAATTTAATTCCATAATTTACTCAGAAAGACAGAGGAAAAACACAAACACCCTCAGTCACAAGAGCTGATAGATAGCTGAGTTCTAAACAGAGTATCTCTCAAATAATAGCCAGAGACTGTGTGAGATCAACACACAAACTGAAAATCACAATGATCCTTGATCTAGGTCAAGACTTTTTGCTTCAAGGTTTTAGGGGAGGGCGCCATGTGACACAGATCAGAATGTTCTTAACAAAAAATGCTGAAGAAAATGGCATATACCTCTCTATGATGTAAATGAATATACAGGATATATGGATGAAAGGTATCCAAAATAAAAAAATGTATATCTCAGAAACTGTCATACATGTATCTGGTTTCTGTCTTCGGAAAGAAAAATTCTGAAAGCTTTCTTTCATGCCTGGCTTACGCACATGCACCAGCTGGTGACCTTCAGCGAGCTCAGTAATGATGTCAATGCCACAGGAACAGGTTCAATGAGTGCTGTGGCTAGCAGAGTTGCAATCTCTTATGGCTGTCGAGTGTCATTTTAGAATGCAATATGGATGTCAACATCCTAAATGGAAAAGCATTTGGTTCTGGGACAACAAACTGAGGACTACAGGTAGTCCGCTGCGTGTAAAATCTCCTGGAGAGACACGGACCTCTGAAGAAAATCTCAATCACATTTGAGAGGTATTCCAGTGAAGTCCATGCAAATAAATTTGTGCTGCTAGCTTGCAGTTGCATACAAATTCCACATTCAAAATAAGTGCATGATGTGCTACATAAAAGGCTATGCCTAAGAGCATACAAGATTCAAATGATTCATGCACTAAAACCAAGTGACCAAGTAGGATGCACATACTGTGCTGCAGACATGCTAGAAAAAACTGATGTGCCACCCGATTTCCTCCACCAAGTGTGCTTCTCAGATGAAGTGACATTCCACTTCACTGGAGTGGCAAACAGGTATCACTGCAGGATTTTGGGCAGTCAAAATCCATATGCCTCAATTACCACCTCAAACTATCCTCCAACAAGATGGGGTGCCACCACATTTCTGCCACCATGTTAGAAATCACCTGGATGGAGTTATGGCTGAGAGATGAATCAGCAGAGGTGGAACAATCGCATGGCCTGCTCAGTTCCCAGATTTAACCCCACTGGACTTCTTCTTGTGGGGTTATGTGAAGAACATTGTCTACCAGGTTAAGATCAATGACCTTCAACACCTGAAAGCCTGCATAAGGGACACTGTGGTTACACTAACATCAAACATGCTTCAAGCAACATGGAATGAGGTCAAATATCATCTGGAGATTTGTCATGCCACCAAAGAAGCCCACATTGAAATTTACTGAGAAAGTTATATACTCTTACCTTTGTAATGGTGTAACCCATATATGTGTATAATAAATGCATTCTGAGATATAATTATTTTATTCTGGATACCTTTCATCAGAACACTCTATGGCTCATCAGTTCATATGAACACCCTACATCCATAAATAAAGTTACAGAAGTTCATAAAAACATAAACAAAACACAGAGAATATTTTATAAAATATGCCAAGAAAATTCAAGAAAAATTAGACCTTTAACACATGAAACTTATCTGCAGAACAAAACACTGTGAATCTGTACAACAAATTGCATAAAGCTATGCATGATGAGCCTGACAGAAGACATTTTGCAAGTCACAGGACCAACAGAAATGCAAGCAACATACGTAATTGTGGGAAACTCTGCTGCCCTCAAACGAGATACTGGATGACTGGAATAAAGGATCAATAATGCCAACTTAAAAGAAACTCTGCCATAATACATAGGACAAACACATCTCAGCCACTGCTCAAATCAATTAATGAATTTTAATTAGTGAAGTGGGAAACATTACAGATGCTACACTCAGTGAGCAGCAATATGCATTTCACTAATAAACATTCAAAATAACTTTTACGCTGCGATAACCAATTCAGAAACATAGGGAATGTAACACAGATATGGCAACTGTATAGTGAAACCCTGTCCCTACATTCCTGCATTCTTTCATAACTTATATTTTATGACTTCTTCAGCAGTTCTTGAGTTAATATGTGATAAGAGATGAAGGCAGGACAAGCTTACTGGTACATTTTTGCACCTTCACATTGTGAACATACCTACAACTGATCCTATTTCACTCACACAGTTACTGCATAAGTCTACAGCCTGTTCCTGCCACATGGAGTTAGTTAAAATATAAGAGCAGGAGGAAGTATATGAGAGGCACAGCATATTACATGGAACCTGGGTAGGAGAAATCTACTGGAAAGGAGCCACTTGGATGGCTACTATGCAGCTGAACAGTTGTGAGAATGTGAAGTGGGTTTATGAGTATGACAGGGCATGGAGATCAAACACTGTGGTCGAGCGGAGTGCTCCTGCTTCATGTCTGGGAAAACCTAGTTTCAGATCCTTGCCTGGAGCCTGGCTATAGCAGTTGAGGTTTTTCATGGTTTCCTTCAGTTCATCCAGACTTCTGGGACAGTATCTCACACTAGGCCATGACCACTTCCTTCCATACCCTTAACAAATTCATTATTCCAATTCAGTATAGGAAACCCTCATTAATCCGGTTACATTTAATCCGGATGTCGGATAATCTGGACCGAAATATGAAAAATGCTGTTTGCAGTTGAGTACATACTTTAAAAGAAACATGGCGTTTAGGAAGGAAGATGAGTCAATTGTCTGTTCAGACAAAACACGACAGTTTCTACAAACCTGCATTATGACGTTCAAAAGAAGAATGACTTCTGAGTCTTCTATTGATAAATATATGTACTGGCTTTCTATAGTTTTTAAATAAAGGCTCTACAGTGATATTTTTATTATATTTACTCTTAACAGCACTATTTATATCATTAAATTTTCCATTTATAGTCTGAATGTTTTTGTCATTTATGGCTACCTTTTGCTTCACTAATCCTGGCGACCTCCCCCTCCAAATGATTCCAGATTAGTGAGGGCTTGCTGTACTATCAATACATATGCCATGTAGCCTAAATTACTAAAAACATTATTACATAAATCACAAACAAATAGAGAAGACAGACTGACCACTGACCTGGTTGGGTTGTATCACAAAATGCTCATAAGCTGAAAATATATATACAAATCGGTTCAGGAACACTTCCCGCACAGCATTGTTGAACCTCAGATCTTCAACATACTGTTCATGCTCTGAGAGCTTACATTCAGTACCATTCACTTGACCACTATCATCCAGCGAGACACCTGTACGCTCAACAATGGCAACGATTCGCTGTAGAGCATCTGACATGCCTGCATCTGAGTTGTGTGACCAGGAGTGTTTGCGACGCATTAGTTGACCAAAGCCACCTGGTAGTGTGCAGCTGGAGGTCATATTGCTACTGGCATGTGGCACTATGCGTTCATTGAGGTTCCTGTGGCATACATATAGACAGTGTGAGGTTCATTCAGAATAAACCATAATCTCCATGATTTATTCCAGCCATCTTACAGTGCATACACTCATCCACCTCACTCTTCACTCCTGCACTACATGTTTCGGCACAAAGGTGCCATCCTCAGGTGCTTTTCGATTTACGTTAAACTACTTCACTGCATGCCTTGTCGTCCTCATACTAAAATAACTAAAATATGTGTCAAATAAATTTTAGTATGAGGACGACAAGGCATGCAGTGAAGTAGTTTAACGTAAATCGAAAAGCACCTGAGGATGGCACCTTTGTGCCGAAACATGTAGTGCAGGAGTGAAGAGTGAGGTGGATGAGTGTATGCACTGTAAGACAGCTGGAATAAATCATGGACATAAATCAGTGCAACAGGACGCTAAAATATAACAAAACCATTATCTGTTGATACTACTGCTTTGCTTACGTCACAAAACTGCGTGGTCCAATTTTTATAATGGCATGCTGCTTATGGTCAATGGCACATCTTAGCAGTTCCATGTTTGCCTTCATTTGAATTATTAACATGCTAAACACGTGGATAACAGGAAGCTACACAATGTATTAAGAACGTTTCACCAACTCACCAAACGTGATATTATATTGTGATCTTCCTGGTTACAATATTGTGCAATCTAGTATGTGGGTACCAGATGTGTAAAGAACACTTGCTTAAAATTTGACATACCTTTAGAAATCAGTCTCACTCTAGTTGAGCATTCTGTGAATTGAAAGTTGTCTGCAATTCACTGTCCATTCCTGCTTGGTACAAGGTGTGATCAAATAATTTCCAGACTGACCATGAGATGATATTACTGCTGTTAGCATGAACTTCTGCAGCTAGGTGTAGTAGAGTACTCTGCTGAGATATTTCCTGCTTAGAATACAATTGTAGCATGTGTAATTGCTGAATAATATCTTGATAAGTACAGGCATGAGTGGTTCCATTTGCGATTTTTGTGTACCCAGAAAATGAGATTTAAAGATGTCACCATGATTCAAGTAAAATCACAGGACGCATTTGCTGAATTTCGAACAGATGATTTCAGGAAATGCTTCGAACTGTGGCATGGCCACTGGGCTTGTATATAAGTCCCAAGGCAACTACTTTGAAAGGACAGGGTAAGTGATGTCATTGTGGTGAAATAAATTCTGTCTGGAGACTATATGATCACACCTTGCATATCCTCATTAACTTCTGGGCTTGGTGCTGTAGTGTTAATGATATCCTGATGCTTCCTTGAGCTGTGACAATGAATCCACATAGTTCTTATGTTTTTCAGAAGACAGCAGCACCATACAAAATCATGTGTCATGGATTTCTGGACAAAACAATATATTCTGTATTTAGAAAATGGAAACTGACATTTGTGTCATTATTGATAGGTTAATGGGGCACGCAGTAAGATAGTTGGTTGAGGCCCTAAGCTACAAGCTGGAAGGTAGTGGGTTTCAGTCCCAATGAGGTGGACTTTTTTCAGTTCGTAAGATTTGAGGCTTTCACGGCGGTGACTATGAAGAAAGCAGTCTTCTGGGATTTGGCACCGTGTATATGTGCTGTTAACACCACATATACCCAGTGCCAAATCCCAGAAGACTGCTTTCTTTTTTCAGTTTACCTAATCCTTCCAGCCGCACTATGGCCCTGGGGTCGACTCAGCCTCTAACAGAAATGAGTACTAGGAATCTTCCCTCAGGGTAAAGGGCGGCCAGTGCAAATGGCTGACAATCTTACCCCTATTCGTGAGCTGACTGTCTAGAGAAAATGTGGGAGCCTTGATGTCTCACAGTCCTGTGGGCTTTCACAGCCTGTTACAGGGATAGTTTACCTTTTACTGATGGGATAATTCAGAACACTATCCTTAGGAAAACAACTGCAATACTTGTACAGTCAATAGTTACAATGTGAATTACCCTGACTCACCTCACTGACTGTCCACTGCTCACTGTGTGTTTCATAAGCAGTTCTCTTAACTCGCCCACAAACTCTGCATGCTGGGGGAAGCTTGGCAGCTCTTCCGGTAACTGGATGGTTTGGCTATCAATGTCCACATAGCACAAGTTGGCCTGAGCACACAAATGTCATTTCTTACACGAAGCTCTTTATATGCAAACACTGTGTTACTCTTCGCTCCTTGATTCATCACACATAACCATCAACAGGCAAAAAATATCATTACACAAACCAAGAAACTCTGTATATTTTATCAAGGTTTCAAATCAAAGTGGTAATTATTTGTACCAAACCCTTTTGACATTAAAAAATTTGCATTTTTCCCACAGTGCATTTATATGTTTTGTATATTTTCAAAATAGTGATTATTTCTGTAAAGAGCATCTACTGATTGATCTTTGTAATGAAGACTCAACAAGTCTGTGAGAGGGAGAGACTAATCTTTACATATTAATTAGATGAACTTCAGTCTTTAAAGAACAAACTTTTATATGGCAAGACAGAAAGAGAGATGAATCCAGTAGACTGTTACTCTTGACTCAAACACATGAAAAGCATCCTAAGTCCGAGCTACTGAAAATACAATTAAATAAATGTGACTAAAACACTGACCTCACTTGCAATCTTGAGCTGTGATTCACTACAGCTGTGGAGGCCCATTACAAATGGTACAGGCGCATCGAGGAAGTGTTGCAGTGAGGCAGGCAAGATGGGAACGTACACATGCTGCCACGAGAATGGAAACAGCAATGCCGTCACTGACTCAGCCACTAGCATCAGGCGGTGGTAATCTGCATCATAAATGGGGTATGTCATTAGGTGACTTGGATTCGGACATGTCTGTGCGAAAGGTAAAGGACACAAAACTCTGGCCTCAATCTAGTGGCATGGTTAAAAATGAAGTGTTTATATAATTTGTACTAGTGCCATGAAATGTGCCTCAAGTTAATGACTCTAAATTATTACCTGAGGAACATAATAGGACTTGGTGCTCCAGAAGGACACATGTGAACAGCTGTGTGAGGCAGTCCACTCCCAGCAGGGTGAACAACTCCCGCAGTGAGAAGTCAAACAGTGGCAGTTCCTCAATGGAGCCAGGCCTCTGAATAACCACACTGTCTGCCAGAGGGCAGGAGAAGCACACAGTACGTCCAGGCTGCGGAACTGGAACTTCATACAGCAAGTTATGTATGTAACTCTCAATGCTGAGTTGTCCTGGACTAGACGTGGACACCAGCCTGTAGACAATATGATTTTATCACCATATGACCTTGACAATGAGACCTGATGGGACTATTTACAGGACACTGTTATTTCAAATTACACTTACTCAAAATGGGACTAGTAAATAGTCCCACCTGCAAAAGGTGCCATAACAAGGACGGAACAGGGGCTGCGGCATAGCTCAAGCGATTACTTGCTGGCTTCCCACTGTGGTGGCCCGGGTTCGATCCCAGGTCTGGGCAAGTGGGATTTGTGGACAAAGTGGCACTGGGGTGGGTTTTCTCCGAGTACTTTGGTTTCCCCTGCCAATTTTCATTCCACCAAATTCTCCATCATCATAATCGCCCGGGGCAGGTACAATAGGCCAATCAGTGGCCGCCGTGCCGAGTGGACCCAGTTGGACTCCACGCCCCACTAAGATGGAACAGTCTCACACATCCTACATGACTGTGAGACCATAGCTGAATTCAGATTTCATCACCTGCACCCTAACTTCATGAAGCCAAGTTACTACAAAATGTCCCAGTAAGTAATGTACCACATGTCATTTGACGTGCAGAACTGCTAAAGAGCTATACCAGAAAGTGGATACACAACAGACTGAAAATGATCATAGATGAATGAATGAATGGATGGATGCATATGGGATAGGCCTAAACTGGCCCTTGCACCATGACCTTCAATGAGCTGTTGTGGGAAGTGAAATGGTCATGGTGTACGGGTCAGTATGGCCCATATATCTGATTAGCATCTATGTGCTACACATCTTTCCCAGCAAACAGTGTACATAATATGAAGTACATCACTTGAAACTATGCCTGGGTTAGTGATTAATAGGGACCGGATTTTTATGCCCTAATAATCCCTTAAATATGTATGCATTTATGCATGAAAAACTTCCGAAATATGCACATAAAAATTTATACCAAATATTAACATTATTTTAAGACCAACAAATCAATATTTAAGTTCATTTTATGTAATCACTGAATGATTCACTTGCAATAAAAAGCTATATGAAGGGGGACCCAAAAATAACCGGAAACGACCTGTTGTGCGCGCATGCTTTGTAGTTACGAGTTGTGCTGCTAGGTGGTGTTAGCTGGGGGTCTCCCGCGACTGTTAGTGAGCTGGCGTCAGTCTGAGTTAAGTGGTTTGTCTGTGGTGCTCTGTTGTGTGCGTTCCTGTTTCAAACCTTTGGCGATTAGTGAGATGGCCGACCAGAAGGAACAAAGAGT